GGGCTCGAACCCACGAACTGCGAGATCATGACCTGAGCGAAAGTCGGACGCTTAACCGACTAAGCCACCCGGGCGCCCCCTACTCTTACATTCTTTTCTCTTCCTGTGGGGAGACCCAGTTGAACTTTAAGGAAGGGAACAAGAGTGTGGTGATTTACAGTCTCTTTTTTGAAGTCACAGATTTATTTGTCGGAGCAGTTCTAGCTCTTCCTGTTTGCTGTGATTCCAGAACATGCTAGGTCCGTCAGCCCAGCTCTGGACCGTGCTGAGGACGCAGGACTCCCATCTTGCTTCTCAGAGTTTCCCTTGACCTACTTCCTGGCCAGCTAGACAATCTCCTCAAACCTGAGAGCGGAGGTAAGAATCTGAAAAACATTCCCCTCACACAATGTTGTGAGCTGGGCGCCTGCCTCACCCACCGACGCAAAACCCGCTGACCCATCTGCCCTTGCTAATGCTGGCCCAGGGCCTGATCTCAGCCTTTAGACCTCCAAGCAACCTCAGATCACTGCACTGCCTCTCAGAGGCCACACCTCGCTTGAAGGAACATGTTCCGGAGAGGTCCTAATATCGTTTTTTAAAAATGTTTTTAAATTTTATTTATTTACTTAAAATTTTTTTAATGTTTATTCATATTTGAGAGAGAGACACAGAGCATGAGCGGGGGAGGGGCAGAGAGAGACACACACACACAGAATCTGAAGCAGGCTTCAGGCTCTGAGCTGTGCTCTGTCAGCACAGAACCTGATGCGGGGCTCTAACTCACAAGCTGAGCTGTGAGATCATGACCTGAGCTGAAGTCGGATGCTTAACCGACTGAGCCACCCAGGTGCCTCTAAAATTTATTTTTGAGAGAGAGAGAGAGACCGTGAGCTGGGGAGAGGCAGAGAGAGAGAGAAAGGGACAGAGGATCTGAAGTGGGATCTACACTGACAGCAGTGAGCCCGATGTGGGGCTTGAACTCACAAACTGTGAGATCATGACCTGAGCCAAAGTAGGATGCTCAACTGACTGAGCCACCCAGGTGCCCCTTAAGTTTATTTATTTTGAGAGAGACAGAGAGAAAGTGAGTGAGTTAGAGAGAGAGAGAGAGAGAGAGAGAGAGAGAGAATATCAAGCAGGCTTCATGCTCCACGCCAAGTTTGATGTGGGGCTAAATCTCACAACTGTGAGACCATGACCTGAGCCAAAATCAGGAATCGGTTGCTCAACCACTGACTGAGCCACCAGCTGCCCGTGGGAGGCCCTGATATCTGATCTACTTCCTATATCCCTCAGATCAACATAGAGCAAAATTGAAAATATTGCCCAAAGGCAAGCCAGGTAGGTGATGTCTGACTACGCTAGACACCTGTGTGACCCTGGGCACTGCACCTCCCTCTGGCGGGTCTCAGCTGTCTGGGGCCATCAAGCCACTTGGCCTCCAGGCCCTCCCCCGTTCCAGCCGTCTCAAGCAGGCAGAGAAAGCACAAGCAGCTGCTAGTTCCATTCTTTCTCCCCCCCCCACCCCCAGGCTGAGTGTGTGCCAGGTAATGCTAAGGCTCTGCGGAGATCCCCGCAGAGGGAGGTTCTAACACCAGCCTCTTTCACCAGTGCAGAACCAGCCAAAAAGAGGTAGGTGCCTTGCTCAAGGCCACCGAGAATGAGTGCCAGAGCCCGAAAGTACCCGGCAGTCTGACCCAGGACAAGCCGTGCGGCTCTGACCATAGAACCACTAACTGGGGCTTCTGGCGTCATGTGCCCGGCTTGAGGGCAGACGCGTGGAAGGCCCGGGAACATCAGAGCTACGCACGCGTGGGCATGTGTGGGGCGGGCAGAGCAAAGCAGGAAGAGGCCTCGCAGGTGGGCATGGCCACGCCCCTCGTCGAGGAGGGAGGGCACCTGCCCCGGGCCGCTTGGCATTGGCCGGAGGGCGGCACCTGGCCTGGGTAGTGCCCGGGCAACCCCAGGGAGCCAGAGAGTGTGGGAACAGAGAAGGAGCGATTCCTCTGACAGGCCCGCGAGGGAGAAAGAAAGGAGAAAGCGGAAGGCGGCCAGGGGCCCCGCGGGAGGAAGGGCTGGGACAACTTTGTCGCAAGTGGGGAAAAGAGGTGGGTCAGCCCGCCTGCTGCAGCCTCGTCCCTTACTGTCCTTTTCCACCGTTGTTTCTGATATTTTCTACTCTTACAGGCTTGAAGAGTAGATACATATGTGGGTGGCCCAGGGCCAGCATTCTCTTCCCAGGATCCAGTTCTCTCCGGCACTAACCGCAGGCCAGGTGTACCAAGCGGGACCTGGGGGTAGTTAGTCCTTCTGCAACTTTTTATTTGCCTCATAAAACCTTTGGCTTGGGAGGGGGAGGGGAAGCAGGGGTCCTGATGAAGGGCGCCTGGGGTAGAGCCCCAGAATTGCAGCTTTCGGAGCACCCCAGGTGTTTTAGGTGGAGGTGGCTCAAGTCCCCATTGGAGATACCCAGGTATAGGGGCTGCTGGAGGCTGGATGAAGGAGGAGGGAGGTGGGGGCTGCAGGCGTGCTCAGGGCTTTCCCTTCCCCGATACCCTGTTCTGAAGAAAATGAGTATGTGTGCTGAGGGGGGAATGGCTGAACGGGTCTCAGCAGAGACCTCCTCCAAAGGAGCTGAGCCCAGCGGTTCTCACTAGAGGTAACTTAGCTCCCCAGGAAACATGTGGCAATGGTTGCAGACATATTTTAAAGTCATAATCAGGAAGGGGGGGGGGGTTCCAGCATCAAGTGGGCGCCAGAGATGCCGCTAGACATCTTACAAGGCACCGTTCAGCCTTCCCTCCCCCTCGCCCACCCCTCCTCACGCACAGCAAAGAGCTATCCTGCCCCAGAGGTCAAATGTGCTGAGGCTAAGAACTCTGAAGCCAGCCAATCCGGCAACTTTATCCCCATCCCCGGGGCTTTGAGCAAGTACTTGCCCTACATCACATCTGCTCTGCCACAGTGTTACCGGGGGAAAGAATCACAGTCATTTGGATCACGTGAAAAGATAAGCACGGCCAGGTGGGCCTTTGCAATTCTCTCCACGCCCACCAGATTCTTCTCTGGTCGGGAACCCGGAGGAAGCTTCGGTTGCACGTCCCGAGAGAATGGTGCCACCTAGTGGTACTAGAGTTAACAGCATCCGCAGGAGCATCTCCAAAAACTGGAAGCTATGAATAGTTAGGTGGCTCAGCTGTCAAGAAAATTTCTATGGAAAACAAAAACAAAAACAAAAAACAAAAACAAAAAATGGAGGCTGCCCAAATGAGGAAAAACGGAGGTCATTTATTCAGAGCTTTCTATAGCAAGGAGGTCAGCCACCATCACTTGCATGTGGCAGAGACTCAAATTACAAGTGGAGACTCAAATGCTAGTGGGGACAGGTTATAGAGGGGAAAAAAGCTCCAAGTGTGCCCTAATTGGAGGTTGTTGGCACAGGGAAGCTGGGAGCCTGGGCATCTCCTGTAATCGGTTTGGAGAAGACATTTGGCTTCCTCTGGTTGGTCCTGAGATGGAAGATAGGGATGAAAATTAGACAAGCTGGCAGTTGTTGACTAAGTCCTGACTGTCCAGGACCAATTACTGTAGAGGCTGTAGGTCAGAGTTCTACTGTCACATATCTGGCCAATGTCTATTCATTTATTTAGTCTCTCTCTTTTTTTAAGTTTATTTTGAGAGAGAGAGAGAGAGCACGCACAAATGTGCGCTAGCACAAGCAGGTCAAGAACAAAATAAGAAGGAGAGAGAGCAAATCCCAAGCAGGGTCCGTGCTGTCAGCGCAGAGCCCAATGTGGGGCTTGAACCCACAAACCATGAGATCATGCCCTGAGCCTAAATCAAGAGCCACTGAGCCACCCAGGGGCCCCTGTTTGTATAAGCAGTCTTTTAATGCATTAATCATTCCAAATACATTCCTGCTGTTACTAATCCTGAAACACATTACATAAAATGACCCATGTGAAAAGGAGTTTGACTGCAAATCAACATCCGTGATTTTTAAAGGCTGTCCGTACAGATTGTGATTTAGGGTTCCTATTGGATATAACTGATTTTGCTGCTCATGTAGCTTCATAATGGATAACATCATTCTCCTCCCTGACATTCACCTGGGCCCCAGGAATCCCTCAACGTCACCTGCTTGGGTACCTTCACCACCACCATCACCACCCCACAATACTACCCCCACCATCGCCTCCGTTTCTCTCCCCCTTGCTGTCTAGAACCATATGACCTTCCTTTGGCTCTTCAAGGTTAAAGCAACCCCGCCCTTCAATCCTCACACTCCACTCCTTCCTCTTGAGGACTTTATGCTTTATGTGTCTGAACACTCTCCTTCTCCCAAGGCCTCCCTTGCTTCCTCTCTAAAGTAGTTGCCACGCTTTGGATTCTCCCGATTCTTCGTTTCTTTCATGGTGTTGCCACGCTTTGAAATCCCCTGTGGGGTCTCCCTCATAAGTGATCCGTTTGTAAAGGCAGGATGTGTGTCTCCACGTCCCGGGGGCCTAGCACGATACCTAGTTCAGTACATATTAGGAGCCTCGATAATATTGTTAGATTTTGCTTAAGAGATAGATGTTGGGCTCAAAAAGCATTAGTTAAATGAATGAGCATGGTCTTTCAGGAGCCACTCTCCAATGGCCAACGCATTCCCCAAATTAATGCAGTCTGGTAGTCCGGGTCCAAGGATGACCTCCCTCCCTGACCTTCCTCACATTCTGCTCTGCTGAACACTCAACCTGTGTGCAGAAGGGGCTTGAAGTTCACAGCGCGTTGCCACGATTTCTGTAAGGAAGGCTGCAAAGATGTCCACGGAGACACAGAGGCACGGGGGGCGGGGGAGGGCGTGGAGGGTCCCTTTGAGTTTTGCGCGAAATCTATTTACGGAGTCCAGGACGCGAGGGCCCAAGTCTCCGCCGGTGTCCGCGCCGCTTCCGCTTTAAGGGGCGGTGCCCAAGCGGGCGCGCCGGGCGCTCCCGGAAGACGCGGGCGGCGCGTCCTTGGCGCCGAATCCCCGGCCCTCCGCACGAGGTCCCCGGCTGCCGGCGCCGGGCTCCTCGGCCCGGGGATCCCCTGCCCTCCGCACGCCCTTTCCGCTCTGGGCACCCGGACCCCGGCCGCCTGACTCCGGCGCTCCGCACCCCTCCCCCCGGCTTTCTCCAACCCGATCGCCGGCTCTTCCCGCACCCTTCCCGCTGTCAGCGTCCGGATCCTCGGGCCCTCAACGTAGGGTCTCTGCACCACCACCCCTGCCCCCCGCTCCAGCTCCCGGCCCCAGGCTCCTCCCCAGCCCGGTACCCGGGGCCTGGGTCTTCCGCGGTCCGCACTGCCCACTGCCCCGGCTCTCAATCCCTTGACCCGGGTGTACCTTCCGCCCTCCCCCGCGCCCCTGCCTCCCGGCTGTCGGCACCCGGGCTCCGCCACGACCCTCACCCTCACCTCCGCCCGGCCCCTCCGCGGGTGCCCGGCCAGCGACCTGGAGTGGGGCGGCCCCGCCCGCGCAGCCACCTCGCCGCAGGTCGCGTCCCCGCTCCGGGCCTGGCCTGGCGTCTGGCTCGGCCCCTCCCGCCCTCACAGTCCGTGCAGTTCTGGAAGTCCCCGAAGGCGCAGGCGGCCTCGGACCTTAGGTGGAGGCGAGGTACCGGGAGGGGGTGCGGTGTGGAGCGGGGGCGTAGGGGCCGGGCTGCGCGGCCTAGAGGGCGCGCCCCGCGGGGCAGGACCTGGAGCCGGGCTGAGCTCCGCCTGCACACGCTTAGTTAGCCTGCACGCGGGCCCTGAGCGTCGCCCCGTCCCGCCGCGGCCCCACTTTTAAGTGGGGTACTCAGCTGTGGCCTGGACTCATGTCAGCCTTGCCCAGAGCGTGAGCATTGATGGGTGCCCTTTAAATCGAGGGCTGGCAACCTGGTCCGGGGACCTCTGGGAGAGGATGGTGACCCCCTGGCGTTTTTCTGTTAGGGTCTGCTTGTCCTACCTAAGGGGTTTTGAGCTCAGAAAGGAACTCGGCCTTTTAAGATCATCTGGGTGCTCTCGTAATGCCAGACTCTGTTGGCTTCTGCTTGGCACTTTACCCAAACTTATCTCGGCCTGTGGGGACGTTGGTGAGGGGGGCCCTGAGAGCGTGTGCCAGCAAAGAGCCGGCTGGAGTGACCTAGCTGAAAATGGGCCATCCCAGAGTGTCTCCCAGGACCGGCAGCCAGGATGCCTCCTTCTGCACCTCCGGATCTGGCTCCGGGCTGGGGCTCTCCTGATGAAATTCTTCCCCCTCCTTCTCTTCTACCCCCTCACCTACCTGGCTCCCAGCATCTCCAGCCTCTGGCTCTATCTGCTTCTGAAAGCCACGGAGACCTCAGGCCCAACATACATCAAACTGGGCCAGTGGGCCAGCACCCGGCGCGATCTCTTCTCAGAGGCTTTCTGTGCCCAGTTCTCCAAGCTGCACGTCCGGGTGACCCCCCACCCTTGGACTCACACTGAACACTTCCTGCGGCAGGCGTTTGGGGAGGACTGGGGGAGGGTCCTCTGCTTTGAGAAGAAGGAACCTGTGGGCTCAGGCTGTGTGGCCCAAGTGTACAAAGCACGTGCCAATCCTGCCTTCCTGGAGAATGTCAGCATCCGGAGACTTGCTAAGGCCTCCCGCCTGCAGCCTTCTTCAGAAGCTGGGGCAGTCGGGAGGCTGGGAGAGCTCTTCGGACCCCTGGGAAAGGGGTGGAAGTTGCAAGGAAGTCTTGCTGACCAGTCATTTCTAGAAAGGCTGCTCCTCCCTAAGGCTGACCCAGATGGATCAAACGCAGTCACGTCTCAGTCTTCAGTGCCTGCCCGCCAACCTGAGCCAGATCACCTTATCCCCGTGGCAGTGAAAGTAAGTGCTCTGATGTTGTCACCTGGCACTTTCTGTCTCTAAATTCCCACCGACTGCACAGAGCTGTCTCTGATCAGGAACCCCCATTTGCAGATCACCCCACATTACATTCCACTGATTTCTATTAGCTTGACCTTTATCTGAGTATCTATGCTTTGCAAGTTGTGTTATTTCTTGGTTCGAGGGAGTGGTTGTGTGAACAGGTTAGTAAAGGAAAACGAAGAGGGTTTGGGGTCTGCAGCCTCTGTGGCTGGAGGAAGCACCCAACGGACCCAGTACTCTGGGGTCAGGATAAGTCAGAGACAGTGTAGGTTAGACATCATGTGGTGAGCCCAAGATGGTGGTCTTCATTTTTACAGAAGTGGCTCCCTTGTCTCTTCATTTCTAGTCACCCCTGCCTGGCTTCATCATTTTTTGGTCTCCACACTTTTCCATCCCCTTTCACCATAACCCTGGGGGATCTGGCCCACCCTGGTAACAGGTACCCCTGATGCTCTCTTACACCTTGGAAAAAACCCTCCCAAGGGTTCCTTGGTTCACGCCTACTGAATCTTACTTTCCAAGGAAGGAAGCTGAGGCCCAGGTTTCTATAAAGGCTGCCGGTGATTCTCATGAGTAGGCATGTTTGGGCAGTACTGGACCAAAGTACCTTCTGCTCTGTGGAAGGCAAGGAATGGGTGCCTGCTTGGCGCCAGGAACGTGCCAGTCATGTTAGATGCATGATTTAATCTGTGCTAGATGCCTTTGAAGTCGGCATTTCTTTAACTTCTATTTTTTTATATTCCCACTTTATTCCAGAAAGGACTTGATGTGGGGGTGGGGACTATTACCTCCATGTTTTCAAAAGTGGAACAGGGGCGCCTGGGTGGCTCAGTCAGTTGAATGTTCAACTCTCGATTTCAGCTCTGGCCATGATCCCAGGGTCATGGGATTGAGCCCCGCATCAGGCTCTACACTGAGCATGGAGCCTGCTTGAGATTCTCTCTCTGTCCCTATCCCCAGCTTGCATGTGCTCGCTCACTCTCTCTCTCTCTCTCTCTCTCTCTTCAAAAAAGAAAGGAAGAAAGAAAGAAAAGCTAGAAAACTTTAAAAAGTGGAACAGGAGGCTGAGAGACTGAGTGGCTTGCCCAGTTTCAGGCTGGGCATGAGTTGCAGAATGCACAGGCATTTGAAAGCACACTCTTCCCATCCTGCCTCAGTGCATCCTTGCTGGAGTTCTGTGACTCTGGATCCTTATCGGACTCAGGCTTTGGACTACCTGACTCATTTACCTGGTGTGCTCAGTAAAATGCAGATTTCTGGTCCCCTCCCCAGGGTAGGTGATTCACTAGGTCTTGGAGGAGGCCCGGCAGTCCACGTTTTCATGTGACTTTTATGCACACTAATGTTTGGGAGCCACTGACCTAAACTTAATGTATTTGGAAGGAAACGCCCACCTGTTCTTCCCAGCAAAGCTAAGTGCAGCGCAGAGGGGTTGCCCCTGGCATCTCCTTAGTGAAGCCACATGAGAGGGAGGGAGGCAGGAGCATCCTGGATGTTGGGACCACATCCGTTTTTGCTCTCATGAGTAGCTGGCTTGGCTGTCCTTTGATGGTGGGACCCAGCCCTGTCTGGGTGCATATGCCCTCCTGATCCCTCCTGTGTCTTGCTGTTTGTCTTCCTGGCAGGTGTTGCACCCTGGCTTGCTGTCTCAGGTGCAAATGGACCTGCTGCTGATGAAGATGGGCAGCCGAGTCCTCACACTTTTGCCAGGAATCAAGTGGCTTAGCTTGCCTGAGATTGTGGAGGAATTTGAGAAGCTCATGGTCCACCAGGTGAGGTCTCCTTCCCTCGGTTGTAAACAGCATCTAACATAGTTCTGGCCATTGGCTGTTTAGTAAATGCGGAATGCACGCATTATTCCCCAGTATGTCGCGGCTCGTATGGTGTAGTAGTCAGGGTAGGTACTGCTAACGGACCTAACAAAGACTATCCCAACCTCAGAGGCCAAGTGCAACAAGATTATTTCTTGCTTGTATCAAAGTGCCATGCAGAAGAGCCGAAGGAGGGAGGCGGAGCTCTTTTCAGGGACCCAGTTTCCTCCCAAGTTTGGTGCTGCCATCTTTAACCTGGGTCCTTCAACCTTCAGCCCTCATCTAGGGTCCGTGTGGAGTGGGGAGAGACGCCACTGTGGCCTTCTCAGTCTACAGGTCAGAGCTTTAATTCCACGGGCCCAAAGTCACCGCAAAGGTGCTTGGGAAACGCCATCTTCCTTAGTTATTGCCTGTGAGGAAAGTGCCCATCTCGTGGGATGTGCAGTGTTATCTGTGCCACAATCCATGACTTATCTCCAGGGTGAGAAGAATCGGTGATGTTACACGCCGTGCCTTTGCTTTGCTTTGTTTCCAGGGTTTTTGAGTAGACAAGGACCTCCTCCCTGACCAGGATCTTTGAGATACTTGTTTAAGTAGTCTGCACTTAGGAGAACACGTAGGTTAAGTAGTTCATGCTTAGGTGAACACGCTTTGGGAGCAGCCTGGGCTTCAAGTAGCCGATTGCACTGGGCTCTCTGTTGGAGAGTGCAGAAACTGTCCGTCTTTGAGAAGCAAGGTGCTAAGTCTTCATTTCTGTCCTCTGATGGAAGGATTTAATGCATGTAATGCAAGGATGCATTTGAATGTTTAGAGAGCTTTGCTTTATGCTGTGGGCAATGTAGTTTCCATAAGAAAAGAAAACTAAAATAGAGAAAACAGCTTCCGTCCCAGCAGTCATCTCTGCATTACCGTCATTCCTACCACCCGGCCAGGCTTCAGTTCCCCTCCTTGAAGTCTGAGAGGCACCGTGAGTGACGAGTGAGATTTCTCGTCCGTAAGGAATATATAGCACGGACGAGAGGACTAGCCTGTAAAGAGCTGCAAAAAGAGCAGGATCCCAGTTACAGTAGGAGTCTCTACGGGTTCAGTTGGGTAGAGCTGGGACCCAAGAGGGGATGTGGTCATTCTATCCTGAGGGTCTGGGGTCCCCAGACTCCAGCCGAGCCTGGAAAGGTGAGTGGTGTTTGCGGTTGGACCACTGGGAGAAGAACATTCCCATCAGAGGGACTGAGGGAGGCGAGGGAGGGGGGGCGTGAGGCAGGCCAGATGTTCTCGCTGTAGAGCTCGCATGAGGCTAGAGCTCTGGGGGGTAGAGGAAGCGAGAGGCACAAGAGACGGGGCCGAGGAGGGCAGTGCGGGCCAAACGGTGAGCTACCTTGGACGTCATCCTAAGAAGTTCGACTTCACCCTGCAGGTGGTGGGGCACCAGCCGATGGGTTGGAGAGAGGGAAGGAGGGGGTCAGGGAGCCCAGTGCCTCTCGTAGGTGCAGCTGACTGGCTGAGTCCCCCCCCCCCCCCCCCCGGAGCCGTGGCCCCGGGGGAAACGGGAGAAAGGATCCGAGAGAGGTGAGTGCAGCCCTGGTGGCCTGGAGTCACAGTGTGGAAGACAGGAGGGAAGGACGAATCTGCAGTGACTCCCAGGTGACTGGCTGCATGGGGGCGGGGGAGTAAATTCCCTTTTGACACGGAGTTTAAGGGTCTTTGGGCTTCTAGGAAGAGACGTGTGGAGTCGGTGGTGGGGTCTGGACGGGAGACCACGGTCTGTCACAAGGAGGCGCGAGCTGAGGACGGGAGGGGACGGAGAGGGAGAGCGCAGGCTGGCGGAGGTCAGCAGCTGAGACAGCATCAGCACGTGGGGACACACGGGAGGAGTGGCCCGGAGACCAGACCAAGCGGAGTGGTTGGAGGCAGGGAGATGGGGGAGAGAAGAGCAGGTGCCTGGAGAGATGGGAGTGGACCCTGGAGTCCGGCGAGGGAACGGCTTGCCGGGTTGAGGGAGCAGCGTCAGGGCGGTGGGCGGAGGGCAGCGCCAGCCCCGTGATGGAGGTGGACCTTAGTGGGGACAGGCGTAGGGCTGGCGGGGGCCAGAGGGCCACCGGAAAGCAATGGAGATGAAGCCCTAGGACGTGGGGAAGGGCTCCTTGGGCCGGAGTGAGGCGGGGTGGGCAGAAGAGAGGATGGCGGGGAGGCAGCGGAGCCCATGTGGGGCCCGGGGTCTGCAGCTGCGGCTTGGGAGTTCACGCAGCCAAAACCGCCCCCTCCCTTGTCTCCTGAGGAGTTCTGCAGGGAGGCAGGTGGCGAAGGCCGGTGCATCTCTGACTTGCTAGCTCTTTGGCCATCCAGATGCTGCTCTCCCTGGGCCCAGACCACCCTTCATCTTTTGTCTCCACTTCCTTCTAGATCGACCTGCGTTACGAAGCTCAGAACCTAGAACACTTCCAGTGCAACTTCCTGAATGTGAATTCTGTCAAATTCCCCACCCCTCTGCGTCCCTTTGTCACCAGGGACGTCTTGGTGGAAACATACGAAGTACGAGTGAGCGCTTTCTCAGGCTGTGCCTTCCACTCATAGCTGGGCCATGTCCGCTATTCAGTCTGAAAAGGCAAAAGCCAGGAGAAACCAAGGGGAGCTCGGATATGGCGTGAGGCAGGGAGGTAGTGTGGCGGGGGGGGGGTGGTGGTGGCTAGGAGCCAGGGTGTGGCCTCAGACTTTCTGGACTGGAAAAATCTGCTTTCCGTTCTATTTGCTGGTGACTTCAGTTTCCTCACGTATAACACTGGGCACGTGCCGCGGCCTCATAGGGTTGTCTCAGGCGGCGGTGACACATGGAATACAAAATGCCTTCAGCAGAGTTTGTGCAGAGAAAGTGGTCAGCAAGTGGCTGTGTCATATCATTGCCCTTAGCTGTTGCCTGGTTCAGCCTCCTTTGTAAAGATGGTAATGGTGAGCTCCAGGGAAGTGACCTGAATGACCCAGTGTTATTAGGTATGTGACCTTGATCAAGTGATTCAAACTCACTGGGCTTTAGTTCTTTTATTTGCTACTGAGGAATAACAAGAGCTGTCTCAGTGACCATTAAATAACTAACCTATGTGAACTGTTTATTTACTAGTTCCTCTTTCTTGTCTCTTCCCTTTCATTGTCCTTTCCGTTTTCTTGCTCAGGGTCACAGAGCTCATTCACGTCCCTATTGGCTGACTCTTGATCAGAATCTAGTTCTCCTGGGGCCTGTTCCTGTCTTCTCCCATGATCTTACAGCATCTCTTACCTGTGGGGGGCAGAGTCGCGGCTTTCCTCTGTGAAATGGGACTTGTTTTCCTTTGAGAAGTGTTCTAGAAAGGATAAGTGAGTGGATGAAAATTTACTTGTGGGTGACAGATTCATAGGGATTGTAAGGAAGGAAAACCTCTTCGGGAAGAGTAGGGATGGGAGGGCAGTGCCCATGTGTCACGTGGGGATGAGGAACAGGGTGTTCGGCGGGCTGTTGAGGGTAAAGCTGTCTCTTCCCTGACTTTCCTTCAAGGAAAGTGTGCCTGTGTCCAGTTACCAGCAGGCGGGCATTCCCGTAGACTTGAAGAGGAAGATTGCACGGCTGGGGATCAACATGCTTCTGAAGATGGTGAGTTCATGGTCTTGGAGAGGGGACCCTGGCTCAGCATGTGGTCAAATTTCGTGTGGGAAGATGGCAGAGACACTGGTCAGCTGCCGTGGGCGGGAGGATGAACAAAGCTGACATCTTCAAAATCTGCTCTAGGAAGAGCTGAGCCACCCATCACACCCATTCATTCTACACCTTTCTGTTAAGCACTTTCTTGGTAGCAGGTGCTCTGTCACCATGCAGGGTGCTGTGCAAAGAGTGGGGAGGAAGACCCAGGCTCTGCCTAAGTTGCCTACATTTTAGACAAACAGGGAAAGATACCATATGTTAAATGGTACTTCATTCATTCAGCAATGTTTATTGAGCACCCGCTCTGTGCTCAGCACTAAATTAAGTGCTGGCTTTACAGTAGTGAGTGAAACAGACATGATTACAGTGTTCATGGAACTATCACTTGTTGGGAAGACAGGCCACAAATGGGTAAATGAGACACAGGCACAAGAGGGTCATTTAGGTGGGGCCCGTCCTAACCTCAGGATTCATTCAGAAAGTGGCCCCATCTGAGCTGAGGTGTAAAGGAAGGCTAGGTGTCACCTAGAGGGGACAGCCTGACGATGTAAATGAGCTGATGCCCATAAAAGGACATAGTGAGCCCGAAGCAGTGTTAACTTTCACTGTCATTAGTAGTAATAGTAGCAACTGGCATTGATAGCAGGTCACATGTAGGAGTAAAGAAAGAGGATACTGGGGCGCCTGGGTGGCCCAGTCTGTTAAGCGTCCAGCTTCGGCCCAGGTCATGATCTCACCTATATGAGTTCGAGCCCCACATCGGGCTCTCTGCTATCAGCACAGAGTTTGCTTCATATCTTATTTCCCCTCCCCTCTCTGTCCCTTCCCCACTCCCGTGCTTTCTCTCTCTCTCTCTCTCTCTCTCAAAAATAATAAATTTTAAAAAATCATTAAAAAAAAAAGAAAGAAAGAATGAGGATACTGAGGTTGGCCAGAGTCTAGACTCTTCCTGGTGATTGGCACAGAAGGGAGTTGTTGGGGGATGGATAGCACGTTGTAGGCAAGAGAGAGGATGCGAGCCCCGGTGTGCAGCGTGCGGAATCCGGGTAAGAAGGAACCAGGTGTGTGGTCAGAGCGGGAGGAAAGAACCCGTGTGACTGGCATGGAGTCGTGCAGGTTGAGGCTGGTGGCCAGAATGGGGCAGAGGGGAGAAGAGTGTGAAGAGGAGCTCAGAGCGGGCTGTGACTCTGCCTCTGGCCTCTGGTGGAGAGTCAGCACCAACAACCCCCCTCGCCCTTCCCCCTCTCCCAGTGGCTCCCAGAGAAGCAGGATTGTCCAGGGAGAGCTGGGTGTCCTCAGTCGGTGCACTGGGAGTTCAGTAGGGAGAGGACTTTGTCCCCAGCAACAGGGCTCCGAGGGGCACCTTGGGCCAGAGGGGTGTGGTGGGGGCAGCCAGGGGCAGAGTAGCAGAGTAGATCGCCCCAGAATTGGGGCGATCCTGACGAGTTCCGGCTTGCAGCATCAAGGATGCGGGTGAAAGTTGGGGGCCAAGCGGACAGCAAGGCGCCAGGAGGTTTGGCCCCGGGGTCAGGGGTCAGCCAGCCTCTCGAAACCACATCCTGCAGGTGTGCCAGCCCAGGCTTCTCTAGTTCCAGGACTGTCACCAGGACAGCAGCCTCTTACCTCCCTCACAGCCAGAACCTGGCCCAGGAGGGCCTGTGTGTGGCCTGGGGCAGCAGCCCGTAAGAGGTAGGAGGGGTCGCTGAGAGCCTCTGCACTTACCTCCGGGGCTCTTCTCCTCCCCCGGGGGAAGGATTGCTGGTGGCTTCTGACCACAGACACAGGCTTTCACAGGAGACGGATTCTGGTCCACAAAGTCACACCTGACTTCCTGTCCGGCATAGTTCTGGGGCTTTCTTTCCTGCCTCGTAGGTTCGAAGCCACTTGTCCTTGCCCACTCGATGCTGTGTGCTGGTGTGGGTTGTTGGTATCGTGGTCAGACTTCACTGTGTGGACAGATGGAAGTAATGGAGGGGATGTCTGATTAGTGAAATGTTTTTGAAAAAGGTGGTTCTGTGAATGTTGAGAACATAGAATCTTGGGGGAATCTTTAAATGATGAGTAGGTAATTATTCATAATTAGAATATTAATTGCTCAAATCACAGGATAAAAATAAGTCCTTTGATAGGGAGTTAGGTCTTTGATTTTTCATGTTTCCTTCTAATCTTTTTTAATGTTCTTTACTTTGAAAATAACTTTTCTCATAAAAATATCAACCTGGCCTGCAGCAGTATAAATTCTGAAGTGGTGACAGAAGCAGCGAGGCTTTATAAAATGTACCTCTCTGCCATCGCACTCCATCGATGTGGGGCTCGAACCATGAACCCTGAGATCATGACCTGAGCTGAAACCCAGAGTCGGACACTTAACAGATTGAGCCACCCAGGCAGCCCTCACCCCTGTCCCGGAAGCTTTCTTGCGTGTGGCCTGGTGTTGAAGGGGGGATGAGGGTGACTCAGCCTTGAACGGCGCTGATCTCCTTCCAGATATTTGTGGACAACTTTGTCCATGCAGACCTCCACCCTGGGAACATCCTGGTCCAGGGTGCTGACGGTCTTTCTAAGAGTCAGGAGGCACGGCTACAGCAGGTGGATGTCTGTGACACGCTGGTGATGGCTGTGACGCCTGCCCCGTGCCCGCTGCGCCTGGTGCTTCTGGATGCTGGCATTGTGGCCGAGCTGCAGGATGCCGACCTGAGCAACTTCCGGGCAGTTTTCATGGCTGTGGCGATGGGCCAGGTGAGACCCCCGGGGCCAGCAGGAGTCGGGGACGATCTTTTAGGCTCTTGGAGACTGTGGGGTTTCCCTTGTCAATCTTACTAATGCCTACCTTGGCCAAGGGTGCTCTCGATGGACGTGGGTGGAGCGGAGTGGAGGGGGGAGAGGAAAGGAGAGGAGGAGAGGAAATGAAGCCATCCAAGGGGTCTTTGGTCAAAATGCGCTGATGCCTTTGTGTGACGCCTGTTCTGAGCATCTCACGGTTTGGGACAGCATCCCAAATGCTGTTTTGTACTGGTAGTTTCCCTTCCCTCAGCAGGCGTGTGGGTGGGCGCTGGAAACGTGGGCTTCCTGCCTGCCTGACGACTGGCCTGGCCTGTACCATTTGCTGCAAGACGACAGGCTGGTGAGAAGCTGCAGCTTAGAGAACTTGCTCTTCACATGTGGGGAGGTGCCTTAGACTCGGAGTGGGTTTTAACCCCTGACCCTGTGGCTCTGAGGGGCTCCAGTGGTTGAGAGTGATTATTTACAGAAAGGGATTCAGCAAAACCTCCTTGGAGTCAACTTCGAGTACTGCATCAAGAGTGACAATGAAGAAACCCTCTGGGCAATGGTGTGGAATTTTCTAGCAAGAAAGACCCTGCCAAAGAGAGAGCTGGTTTAAAAAACAAAAAGGCAAAATTCAGGGGAGCTCCTGCTTATTTAGGAGGCTTCCGAGGGGACAAACGAAAGGCTCGAAACTGAGACAGCATGAGAGCATCCCCTGGGCCAAGGTTAAACGCTGAGGTGCAGTGGAGGGTGGGGAGAGTTGCCCTGCGCAGGCTAGGGAGACAGAGCTTGGCTGCTGGGGTGGCTCGGCGGGAGGTGAGAGGCACCGTAGTGACCACTCAGGTGGTCAGGGAGACCGAGGGGAGGTGCTGGTCAGCGGGTGCCCTGGGCGGAGGGGGCGGGAGGCTGGAGCGCAGAGGCTGGGTCGGTGTGAGGAGGGACTTCTTGGGCAGGGAGAGAGCCCACAAGGAGAGAGTGGCCTGTGCAGTCCAGCAGCAGGTCCTGGTGACTCTGGGGGACGGGCTGGTTGGTCGGCCGTGCCTCATGGAGCGTGAGCAGCGGGACAGTGGCTTTGTCCCACCCCCTGTGTGGCTGTTGAAGGTGAAAGAAGCGGACACAGCCCCTTGCCCCGACTGCACTGGTGCCCGTGGGCTCCCAGCGACCGACAGAGGCTTTGAAAGTCTTCGGTTGGTTACCAGGTATTCCGGAGCGCATAAAATCAGAAAAGTTCGGGACGGTAGAAAATGGAGGTGGAAGCAACTAGGATATGAAGTTTGGGCAAAGTGTCTGGTTTTATGGCCTCCTGACTCTACTGAGTTTCCTTTCTTTCACGTCTCGCAGGGCCAGAGAGTGGCTGAGCTCATCCTGCATCACGCCCGGGCCAGCGAGTGCAGGGACGTGGAGCGGTTCAAGGCCGAGATGGCCGCCCTGGTGACTCAGGCCAGGAAGAACACCATCACCCTGGAAAAAGTGAGCAGGCCACCTGACGGGCGGAGGCCTCGGGGTGTTTACCGCCCTTGCCCTTGGATGGAGCAGAGGTTGAAGGGAAACCTGTTCACAGGGAGAGGTCTTGAGCGGGCTTGAGCATGAAGGCAGAGACAGAGCAAACCTTTCCTCTGCCCACATCTCTAGGTCCCAGGAGCCCAGGCGTCCCCGGTTCTCAAGAGTGGCTCCTTGACCAGGTTCTCACGGGTGGCTGCCAGGGCAGGGGCATTTACAGCGCCACCCCCCCACGCCTCCCTGGTCCAGGGTGCGGCCCTTCTGCCGCTTCCCCTGTGTCTAGAGCTCAGCTGAGCCTGGAGGGAAGGAGGGCCAAGGCCCTGGAGCAGCCAGAGGACATGCCTGACCTTCATGTCCTTTATTTACACCCCAGCCAAAGCCCACTTTGTGTTTCATACACAGTTCTAACAAACCCGACTGTTTTCTCGAGTCAGAAGGAGTGGCCCCCGGGTAGTGAAGAGGTGGCCATCTGGTGTATTCAGATGTGGTTTCTGTGCGCTGAGAGTGATGGGGTCTGCGGGCCCCAGGCTGGACTCCGGCATGGGGGTTGGAACTCAGTTGTGAGATGGGAGCTGGGCTTGTATGTGTGTGGTCCTTTCTGGAATTTGTCTGAGAGCACCTTTCCTGATAGCTGGTGTGTGTGTGTGTGTGTGTGTGTGTGTGTGTATGTGTATGTGTGTGTAGTTACGGCTGGTATGTATATGTAGCTGTGTGTATGGGTATGTGTGTGGGTGTGTGTTTGATTTTGGCTGGTGTGTGTGTGTGTGTGTGTGTGTGCGTGTCTGTGTGCGTGTGCAGGTGCATGTGTGTGGCTGTGTGTATGTGTATGTGTGTATGTGTGGTTATGGCTGGTGTGTGTGTGTGGTTGTGTGTGTATGTGTGTGTGTGTGTGCGGGTGCATGTGTGTGTATGCATGTGTGCGTGTATGTGTGTGGCTGTGTGTGTGTGTGTTTATGGCGGGTGTGTGTGTATGCATGTGTGTGTGTGCAGGTGCATGTGTGTCTGTGGGTGCATGTGTGTGTGTGGTTATGGCTGGTGTGTGTATGCGTGTCTGTGTGTACGGGGGCGTGTGTGTATATGGGTGCGTATGTGAGGGGGTTGTGGGTCTGTGGGTGGAAGGGAGGACGGGGCGGGACAGAGGCCTGGAAGGTACAGAAACTGCCTGTGTGGACTGCAGACCGTTCTATTCTGTTTTCCAGCTTCAAGTTTCCAGCCTTCTGTCGAACGTCTTTAAGTTACTGATGACTCACAAGGTGAGGCCCGCGACGCAGAGGAGCCACTGCGCTCCGGTCAGGCTGGAGGGCAGGTGGGGGGGTGGAGGGGCGGCGGGGGGCCACAGGGTGGAGACCGGTCCTTCTCCGTGAGATCTCGTCCCGGCACACATCTTTCGTACCGATCCGTTTGTGTGGAGAGTGCTGTTTGTGTTTGCTGACGCAGGCGTGGCAGGCTGTTCCCCTCTCGCAGTGTGACTGAGTACCTGTCAGTCGAGCCGTCTCAGTACCCGTGACACCTAGCTGGAGAGGCGTGTGTTCACAAATGCCACAACAGCCCAACTCAGGCTTTCATGCCTTTTCCATCCTCAGTTCTCATTGATGACGCTTAGCATTAACCTAAGTCATACTTAGCTCCTTCCTGTGTGGCATAAAGTCCTGGGGTCAAGGGCGGCCCAGGAGGAGGTGCCTCTTGTCCTGGTGGGTTCAGAGGCCCCGGCGGGGCTGTCCTGGCCTTTGCTTCCTGCCCCAGTCCCTTGGAGGGAGGGGGCCTCACGGTTCTTCACCTTGGCCTTACCTCGGCTCTGTCTGCTTGTGATGGAGTGTGACCTTGGGCTGCACTTCAGAGTGAAGGTGCCAGCCAAGGTGTTGAGGCCGGGGAAGGGAAGATTCTCACCCGGTGACGGCCTTTCCCAGCATTTCTCTTGAGGCTCTGCAATCTGGTAATAAAACTCTGCATGGAGGAGGCAGCTCTTTGGCAAGGACCATAGCCCCGAGCTACGGTCACAAAGCTCTCTGGCCCAGCGCCCTCACCTTGCAGAAGGCACGATGGGGGTGGGCTGGTCCGCTTGCTTCCTCGGGCCTCACTGGTGGAGCCGGGACTTGACACGTAACCAGGTGTCTCGGTCCAGTGCTCTTTGTGCTGCTCCAGAACGACTCTGCAGTAGTGGTGTGCTTGGGACCAAACAGACTCACAGACAGGGGTCTCCGAGTGTGCCAAGGACTCGTGAGATAACAGGTGCAGCTGGCTGGTGCGGGGCGCCTGCCACCTGGGATCCGTCGCGCCGGGAGCTTCTCATCCCGTTTCTCCTTTAAATCTCAGCACAGTCCCCGCAGGCAGGTCTGATCTCTACCGTGTTATCGGCACGAAGAGATGGGGGCACCGGAGGGCTAGGTGGCAGAGCCGGCCGCCCACCCCCCGACTGTCTCTTGACTCCAGAGTTGGCTTTGTGGGTGGGGTTTTGGTGGAAAACTCTATGCTTTCCGAAACTTCTGACCAGTGGTGCTTCACGGACGGCTTCCATACGGCCTGGGGCCTGGGGAGAGCTGTAGCCAGCGCTGGGCCGTTGGGCTGGGGAGAAGCAGGACCGAACATCCAGGCCTGGGAGTTCAGTCCCGCACGCTGCGGAGCCGGTGGCCGAGGCTCACACTCAGCGGCTCTGACCTGCACGAGCGTCTGCGAGGCCGCGGGGCCACCGGGAGGACCCTGGCAGTGTGCACCCTCTGTCATATTTGTCAGTGCCCCGCTGCAAGCCCTCAGCGTTCCTCAAGGCAGGCAGCGGTGTCCAGACGCCCAGCCACGAACCCACGGCCACAGGGCGCCTGTGGCGATGCCAGGCCCCGAGCGCCGGCAGCCTGACCACAGAGCCCTGACTTCCTGCTTTGTCCTCCTGTCCCTGTGCTCTGACTCCGCAGACGGCCTTCCTCACACGCACTGTGGGGCACCGGGGTTATTAGTTAAAAGCTCTTTACGTGCTGTTACCATTGCTGCTCCCGGGATGGGAGAGCTGACCGAGTACCTAGTACCAGCACTGCATTCTAGTCACCAGGCATTTAACTTTTTTAACAAACTTAAAAATGTTTAATTATAGTTAGAATGGATATATACATTTACCCTAACCATTTTTTAAAGTTTTTTTTTAATGTTTATTTACTTTTGAGAGAGAGAGAGCGAGCACAGGTGTGCATGAGTGGGAGAGGGGCAGAGAGAGAGAGGGGGACAGAAGATCCAAAGAGGGCTCTGTGCTGAGAGCAGAGAGCTGATATGGGGCTCGAACCCATGAACCGTGAGATTATGACCTCAGCAAATCAGATAGTTAACCGACTGAGCCACCCAGGCGCCCCAACTCTAACCATTTTCAATGCATAGTTCAGTAGTGCCAAGTATATTCACATTGTTGTGTAACAAATCTCTAGAACTTTCTCAACTTGGGAAATGGAAGCTGTATCTGTTGAACAGCAACTCCCACTTAATTTCTCCCTCCTGACAGCCCCTGGCACCCACCATCCTGCTTTCTGTTTCCGTGATTTTAACGACTCCATATCTCATGTAAATGGAATCATGCAGTATTTATCCTTTTGCAACTGGCTTATTTCACTCAGCATCATGCCTTTGAGGCTCATCCATACTGTAGCATGTGACGGGATTTCCTCCTCCTGTAAGACTGAAGAATATTCCACTGTATGTCTACACCATATTTTCTCTATTTGCTCATCCATCCATGGATATTTGGGCTGCTTCCGCCTCTTGGCTATTGAATAATGCTGCAGTGAACATGGATGTGCTTTGAGTTCTTTGTATATTTACCCAGAAGCGGGATTGCTAGATCATTTTTTTTTTTTTTTTTTTTTAGTTTTTGAGGAAGCTCTATTCTGCTTTTCGAAGCACAATTTTACCTGTTTACCACTGATATACAAAGGATCCAGTTTTCCACATCCTCACAAACACTGTCGTTTTCTGGCCCATTCTACAGGGGTGTGAGGTGGTTCTGATTGCGTTTCTCTAATGATTAGTGACGTTCAGTTTCTCTAATGATTAGTGAAATTCAGCATCTGTTCATATGCTTCTTGGCCATTTTTACATCTTTTTTGGAGAAAGGTCTGTTCATGTGACACTTAGCTTTTTAATAAAATATTTGCCAGAGGGGCACCTGGGTGGCTCAGTCGGTTAAGCTCTGACTTCGGCTCAGGTCGTGATCTCACAGCTCCCGAGTCTGAGCCCTGTGTCAGGCTCTGTGCTGACGGCTCGGAGCCTGGACCCTCCTTCAGATTCTGTGTCTCCTGCTGTGCCCCTCCTCTGCTATGCTCTCTCTTTCTCAAAAATAAATAAATGTTAAAAAAAACCACGTATTTTCCAAAAACAGAGGAAGAAAGAATACAACAACACGAACTCACCCTTAGTTAAGAATGAAAGCACTCCGCTGGTGGTGAAGCACCACCTGACCCCCAGACAACTTCTCAGGCCTTAACTGAGACAATTCCCTTTACTTTTTTTTTTTTTTAAGTTTTAATTATTTTTTGAGAGAGAGCGCACGTGTGTGCCAGTGGGGGAGGAGCAGAGAGAGGAGGACAGGGAGAGAATCCCAGGCAGGCTCCACACGGTCAGCGCAGAGCCCATTGTGGGGCTCGAACTCCTGAACCGTGAGATCTAACAAAGATTATTTCCCCCTGAGTCAGCCTTCAATCTTCTGCCCTTGCATCCTCTTGAAAAACAGCTTCTTGCTCTTCCAGGTTTAAATTCTGACTCTTTTACCTCCCACAGCGGCCTGGAATAAATCACTCAAGTACCATGCGCCTGAGCTTCCTTTCTGTAGAATGGGGATGATAGTACGTTTGAGGACTAGTTGAGTAATCTACATAAATTGCTGCTACTGTTACTCTGGCTCCAAAGGGAAAACCTCTGTGCTGTGTTTGAGCAAAGCTGCTTGTGCGTGGTCTCAAAAAGGCCATTGCAGCAGCTCTTGAAGGATGACCCTCATGTAGCTAGGAAATATTCATTTTATTATTTTTAGGTCATTCACACACACACACACACACACACACACACACACACACAGCCTCACTAAAGAAGTACATGCTTCGTGCCCCAGGTTTTCTCTCCATATTCCCGGTAGATGGGGGATGAGGGTGGGGAAGTGATGGGGTAGAGCAAGGAGTAGGTAGATGGTAGAAACCCCAGCAGGTGTGGGGTGGACAGTCAGGTGGTTACCTGGGATCCTCTGTCTCTATCCGGGGGCTTTAGAAAGAACCAGTTTTTCTGTTTCAGGTAAAGCTAGAGAGCAACTTCGCCTCAATTGTGTTTGCCATCATGGTGTTGGAGGGGCTTGGCCGCTCCCTGGACCCCAAACTGGACATCCTGGAGGCAGCGAAGCCCTTCCTTTTGAAAGGACCAGCGTCCTTTCGCTGAGCGCAGCACAGGCCGGCAGTGGGCTTTCATCTCCGAACCGAAGGCCACCCCGGCAGCCTGTCCTGTGGCTGCTTGGACACTTTCAAATTGGTGTGCGTGGAAGGCATGCCGATGTCCGTCACTCTGACTTGGTTTCAGGCATCTGTTTGAAAAGATCTCTTGTCATTTGGGGGAGTAAAGGTTGTGGAAGCTGTGGTGGTGTCAGGGGGACTTTCAGGGAAAATGTTCCGTGGAGGAGGACAAATAAACTCCGTTATTTTGTTTTCTCGTTTCTCTCTTCTCTTCTCAACCTCTACATTTCCTGAGCAGGTAGGCCCTGACAAGTGCGCTGATATTGAGGTTAGAAAATGTCCCAGAATCCTGTAGACCCATGGCTTCCATGTGGCTTTGGGTAGGAACCCTCCTGGTGGAACGTTGAATCTATTTGCATATGTACCTGCACATACATAACTTTGAAGTTTTATACAGGTTCTGCCACCACTAGCAGATCTCTGGATGCTCAGTATATCCTCTGGGAAAATTTTGCTATACTTCAAATTATTGTCTTGATTTTTCATATTTTTTGATGAGCTGCTAAATTTTATGACAAGGTAAAATGATTAATGTGGGACAGGAACAGAATCATCTCTGCCATTTTCTTAAAGTTCCCCCGTGCTCCCATATCAGCATTCAGACTGCAGTCTCTGAGTCGTGTTCAGGCCCCTTTCCATTTGTCTGGGTTAATTTTGGCTCACGTTGGGGCGCCTGGGTGGCTCAGTCGGTTGAGCGTCCAACTTCAGCTCAGGTCATGATCTCATCGTGGTTCGTGGGTTCAAGCCCTGAGTCAGGCTCTTTGCTGATAGCTAGCTCAGAGCCTGGAGCCTGTCTTAGGATTCTGTCTCTCTCTCTCTCTCTCCCTCTCCTGCTCGCACTGTCTCTTTCAAAAAATAAATAAGACAAAAAATTAAAAAAAATTTTGGCTCATATTAACACAGAAGTTATATAATTAGTACACCCTGTAGACCAGGGCCTGACATCTGCGGTCGCACCCAGTGACACTCTCCAACAGTGAATTAAGGTGGCCACTGCCTGCCTTTCTGCCCTGGGCCCCCTCACGGTCAGTTCCCTAAAACTGGCTGGCCCACATGGGCTAAGAGGGTCCCAGGGTCAGCCTGTAGAGCTGATAGTAGTAAAGCTTAGTTTCTTTTCTTTCTTCTCCCTCCCTCTTCCCCTCCCCCTCCTCTCCCTTTTTCTTTTCTTTTGATTAAAAATAGTGTTTTCTGACAAATCACAGTGGATTCTCTTGCTTGTTTTGGAGACCGCTGCTCTAGATAGTAGGGAGTCAAGCCTTCCCGCTTCCTCATGGGCACTCCAGCCAGCGAGAGCCCTGTGTCAAGTGCACGTACACTTACACTGTGAGGTGAGAGAGGGTCCACGTGCTGAGCAGGTGCCGCCCTGAGCCTGTATCAGCACTACTGAGCTTTGCCTTAAAGCTGACGGATTTTTTTTTTTTTAAATGTTTTTTTTTTTTTTTTAACATTTTTTTATTTATTTCTAGGAGAGAGAGAGAGACAGCGTGAGCAGGGGAGGGTCAGAGAGAGAGGGAGTCACAGACTGAAACAGGCTCCAGGCTCTGAGCTGGCAGTCAGCACAGAGCCCGACACGGGGCTTGAACCCACGAACCGTGAGATCATGACCCAAGTGAAAGTCAGACGCTTAACCGACTAAGCCACCCAGGCGCCCCTAAAGCTGACGGATTTAATCAAACCACTGGTGGCATGCGTTAGTTTTCTATCATCGCGTACAAACTACCCCACGCTTAGTGGCTTAAAAGCAACAAAACTTAGTACCTCACAGCGTCTGCACGTCGAAATCTGGGTGCAGCTTAGCCAGGCCCCCTGCTTAGGGTTTTGCACAGGCTGTGGGCATCTTGAGGCTCCACAGGGGTGGGTGTGATGCCAGTTTCATTCACGTGGCTTTTGGCCTGAGGGCCTCGGTTCCTCAGGAGTCATTACAGCAGCAGCAGGAAATGAACACAGGCTGTCTCGAAGAGAAGAAAAATGGGCAACACAGGTGCCACGAGATCATGCCCTGTGCTGAAGTCAGCCACTTAACCAAACTGAGCCACCCAGGAGCCCCTTTGGAGTTATCAAAGCAGGAAAATAAATATGCATCACTGCTACATAGTCAAAATCTTTTGCTGATTGGGACCATCAATTTTATAGTAAAAGCAGAATTTGTAATGCAAGGCATTAAAGCTCAGGGTGCTACAAATGGTATATAAAACTATTTTTATTACAAGCATTGTTATAATTAATATTACAAGCAAGCATTGAAGTTAAAACTTGTTTTGTAATTCAGCAAGAAAGATGGGAAGGTGGACGAATTTTAATTCCCCTGAATAGCTTTTGCTATGAGGAAAGTAAAGAATAACAGAATAAACATTTCCTGTGTACATACTGTGGGCTAGGTACTCTCTTAAGTGACTCCCACTCAGAAGGGGCCTCTGAAGCTCAGGGAAGTAAACTGACTTGACTTTAACAGAGCTATTAACTGGCAGAGCTGAGGTTTGAACTCCAGATCCTTTGGCTCTTTTTTGTTAAAGCTGTGAGTTCCTCCACTCCCCCCTCCTCCCCCCCGCCTTGACCTTGCAATCACAAATTCATTCTCTGCTGGGATCAGGGAAGGGAAGTTGTGTAGTTTGGGCAGTGAGCTCCCAACGAAGGATGGAAAGCTCTGTCTTCCCAGTTCATGAACTTCATATCTTAGTAGTGATACCTGTCACTAGAAAGGGTAAGTGGTGAATGGCAGCTTAGAGAAAGCCGTGCTACTGTATATCAACTGGACAGTCAACTTTCATCCAGAAAATAGTGGATTCTCTCCTCTTTATACTAACTTATAAGTTAGGAGGGCAGGTAACAGGGGAGAGAGTTCTACAGGGCCAGAGGTTAAATTAACAGGCTGTTCAGAAGGCCACAGGGCAGCTCAGTAATCATAAGCTGTATGAGTATAACTCCAGGGAGAGAGGTTTCCCATTACAGGGCACATGGAGACCCAGATCTTGACACAGGACGGAAGACAGTTATATTCAGTGCACTGAAATCCCTAAATTTAGGTCTGAATTTCTCTCCCTAAGTATCCTATTCTTCATGCTTGTGACTCAGAGTTAAGTCTTCAGTGCTTAGCAAACGATGCATTTCAGATAGAAATCTCTAAGGTGTGAGGCTGGCAGGCTAAGTTTATAAGTCAAACTTGTGGGGGTGCCTGGGTGGCTCAGTCAGTTAAGCAATTGAGGCTTCACTTTGGCTCCAGTCATGATCTCAGGTTGGGGAGATCAAGCCCTAGTTGGGTTCTGCACTGACAATGTGGAGCTTGCTTGGGATTCTGTCTCTCCCTTTCTTCCCCTCCCCCGCTCGCAGGTGAGCGCACTCTCTCTCAAATAAGTAAACTTAAAAAAAAAAGTTAATCAAACTTGCAACTTCTTAGGAAAACCATAACCCGTAAGTAAAGCCCCTAAGAATTTCTGGGAGGGTTGGGGGGAGATGGTGGTGTGGGTGTCCAGAAGAAATTAAGAGTCCATCCAGGATTTAATAGAAGGCAGTATTAGGAGACAAAAGCCAAGAATCCAGGGCTTGGCTCAAGATCAGGGAATTAGAGCACTGCATAAACTGAAGGCCGCGCTAAAAATGCAGATTCCTTAGCCTTACTCCAGACTGAAGAGTACCTGGGCTCAGGCTCCTCAGGTGATTCTGATGCCACCAGTCCATGTACTGGTATTTGGGCACCACTGGCTGCTGGTTGGTAATCAAGTGTGCAGAACAATAAAAGAATAATGAAGACTTTGAAGAAAACTATTGTGAGCCTCCTGCAGGAGAGGAGAGTACAGAGGACCAGCCTTGGGCAGGTCTCTGCTTGTGAAAGGGTCTGGCAGCCTTGGAGGGTCCAGAAGGCAGTTAGCTCAGGAAGAGCAGGCGGAGGAGCGGATGGAGCTGGGACAACAGCGTGTAGATGAGCAGTCAGAGAGCACAGGCGGACTCAGTGCTGGCTTCTCGGCACACGCGCACGAAGAGGGCTCCTAGAGCCGAGCCCGAAGCCCGGACACTCCAAGAGGCGCTTCCACCCCATCCCGGCAAACGCCACCGTCTGGGAGACGGGCGGGGCGGCGCCATGACGCCACGGGGCGGGGCTCCGGGCGGAAGTGACGCAGGAGGCGGTGCGGCCTGGGAGCGGCGGTCGGGACGCGGGCCGGCATGTCGGCTCTGACGCGGTTGGCGCCTTTCCTTCGGGCTGGAAGCCACTTGTTCAGGGGCCGCGGCCCCGGGGCGGCTGGAGGCAGTGGAGTCCGTCAGTGAGTGTTGGCTGAGGGAGGGGCCCCGCCTGCTTCTAACGGAAAGCGGCCGTCTTTGGGACGCCCTCACCTTGAGGTGAGGTGCCCGGCGGCACCTGGGGCGGACCGGGTCTTGCCAGCGACCTCCGCCCCGAGGCATGCTGGGACTTGGAGTCCCGGTCCTCGACACGGGGCCCAGGGAGAGCCGGGGGGCCGTGGGCGCCAGGACTCTGTTCCTGCCCCGGGGTGGGGTGGGGGGGGCTGCCCTTGGGAAATTGAGTTGAACGTGGAGACAAGCTGGAGCTGATGTGGAAGCGAGAGCAGGAGTTGGGAGGCGAGGGGTTCGGGCCGAGGAAACAACCTGTACGGTGTGTTTTGAAGCGTCCAGTGCGAGGCAAGGAGTGGCGGAGGTGCCTCCGGAGATGTTGGGGCGTAGGGAGGGAATGTCCGCGTGCCTGGGTGGAGGATTTCTAACGGAGGCGATAGCGATCCCAGCGAGGTTTTAATTAGATGTCACACAACCAGATTTTAATTCCATTCTCAGTAGTTACTCTGGCTTCAGGGTGGAGGATGAATTCTCCAAGGTTGTGGAGGCGATCACCCAGGGAGAGGGCTGAAGGGTGAGAAGAGAGCCAAAAGTGGATGCTTGGGCAATATAGGAATTTTTAAAAAGTTATCTTTTAGAACTGTTTTAGGTTCACAGCAGAATTGAGTGGGAGGTACAGAGATTTCCCATAAGGCCCCTGTTCTACTCATGCATAGCTTCCTCCATTATCAACATTCCCCACGAGAATGTTCCATTTGGTAGAGTCGATTGACACCTTATCACCGAATCCCATAGTTTGTATTAGGGTTCACTCTTGCTACACCAGAATTTAGAGGATGAGCAATAGAGGAGTCACCCGTGAGGTAGCCCCAAAATTCAATTGGCGAGCATAGGGCTGGGATGCCAAGGGGGGCACATCTGCCAAAAATATATTGGTAGTGCAGAGAGATTCAGTAAGAGCAGGACGGAAAGTAGAACATTGGATTTTTACAGGTGATGTACCAGGCCCCTTAGATCGTCACCTACATTTTTCCAAGAGGCAGGGTAGGGTATTGGTTAAAAGCAGGATTGTGGCCTCAAACTGCCTCAATTCAAATTTCATCTCTGCCACGGTCTAGCTGTTTGGCCTTGGAAGTTCGTTCGTTCGTTCGTTCGTTCGTTCGTTCGTTCGTTCCTTCCTTCCTTCCTCCCTCCCTCCCTCCCCTCCCTCCCTCCCCTCCCTCCCCTCCCTCCTTCCCTCCTTCCCTCCTTCCCTCCTTCGGAGAATCCCAAGCCTACTCTGCACTGTAAGTGCAGAACCCAGTGAGAGGCTTGATCTCACTAACTGTGAGATATTGACATGAGCTGAAATCAAGAGTTGGATGCTTAACCGACTGAGCCACTTAGGCACCCTTCTTTTTTAAAAAAAGGTTTTTTTAAAAATGTTTATTTATTTTGAAGGAGAGACTGAGTGTGAACAGGGGAAAGGCAGAGAGAGAATCAGAAGCAGGCTCCAGGCTCTGAGCAAGCTATCAGCACAGAGCCCAATGTGGGACTTGAACCTACGAACTGTAAGATCATGACCTGAGCCACCTATGTGCCCCTTATTTTTTTTTTTTTAATAAATAATCTCTCCACCCAGTGTGGTACTCAGATTCACAACTTTTGAGATCAAGAGCTACCTGCTCTACCAACTGAGCCAGCCAGGCACCCCAACGACCCACTTCTTTCAAGTCATAGTTAAAACAACAGGTCACTCTAGCAATAATGAAATGTGGAGAGTTCCTGTAGTAGATTTGAACTATAATTCTCAAATATTATTTTAATGAATTTAACTGATGGGTCTTTGTATCTGAAACCTATCAAAGAGGAAGCCTGTTGTTACAGTGTATTGAATTCCCATCCCCATAGATTGTTTGTAAAATGAAGTATTTATACGCTTAGGGAGATCCTGAATAAATAGTGTTAAATAAAATTGGCATATGATGGCATTACAGAAACAGTGTGATATATTTTTCAGGTTGTAAAGCAATGATGCTTGATGGAGCCTTTTAAAAGTAATATGGGGTCACTATTAAAAAAAAAATCCCATAAAAAAACAAAATCTTGCCATTTGCAACAACGTGGATGGATCCAGAGTATGATGCTAAGTGAATTCAGTCAGTCATAGAAAACGACCGTATTATTTCACTCGTATGTGGAATTTAAGAAAACAGATGAGCACAGGCAGGGGAAAAGAGACGGGCAACCAAGAAACAGACTCTTACCTCTAGAGAACTGATGGTTACCAGAGGGGAGGCGGGTGGGGGATGGGTGACATAGGCGATGGGGACTGAGGGCACTGTGATGGGCACTGGGTGATATATGGAAGTGCTGAATCACTATATCGTACCCTTGAAACTAATAATTACTCTGTCTGTTAACTGACCGGAATTTAAACCAAAACTTAAGGGGCGCCTGATTGGTCAGTCGTTTAAGCATCAGACCCTCAGTTTCAGCTCAGGTCATGATCTCACGTTTTGGGGGTTTGCCACCCACACTATCTGCACGGAGCCTGCTTGGGAGTCTGTCTCTTCCTCCCTCTGCCCCTCCCCTGCTCCTGCTCTCGTTTTCTTTCTAAGTAAATAATATAAACTTTAAAACATTAATAAAAACTTAAACTAAATACATATGCAAAAATAAGAATCACCTTTTATTACTACGCATTAGTATTTTATGGACTGCCTTCCGAATAGATGTGTTATATGCCAGATAAATATTTACATAAAGTGAAACTTTATCTCTTCAGTGTGGTATCATGCTGATGGGAATTCTAATTAAGAACTGTGTCTTTGATTCATAAAATGAGAAAATTATTAATGTTTGTAGGCAGTATTTAAGAGCTTGGGCTTTGCCACTAAATAATCCCCCAGTGTTTTCATTTGTGAACATTAATAACCATAGGATCTGTCTCAGAGGGTTATGAAAATAAATGATAATGTGTATAAAATGCCTAGTTTGGTGTTTAGCACATGGAAAACACTCAGTAAATCATAATTGCTAATAACGTTTTAAGAGTGGGAGAGGATAGGGGCACTTGGGTGGCTCAGTGGGTTAAGCCTCCAACTTCAGCTCAGGTCATGATCTCAGGGCTTGTTAGTTCGAGCCCCGCGTTTGGCTTTTTGCTGACAGCTTAGAGGCTGGAGCCTGCTTCAAATTCTGTGTCTCCCTCCATCTCTCTCTGCCCCTCCCTCCCCCCTTCAAAAAAATAAACACTAAAAAATGTAAAAAAGAAAAAAAAAAGAAAAAGACTGAGAGAGGTAATAAGGGTAGTGGGTGATATATATCAGGAACCATAGGTCTATTGATGTTTACGCATCTCCAGCACATTTTGAAGAAACGTTAGTGCAGTTTTGGCACACTTACTCATTTCTGTGCTGCACGAAAGAGAACACGGTTTCACAGGCTGAGACTTACCTGAAACGAAATTTGTGAATACTGCACATTTTACATAGAAATTCTCTTTGAATTTCTGTATCATGGAGTATGTATAGCTGCTAAATAGATCTTGACAATAACACCCTTCAGTACAAATTATATTACAAGCTAGATTTCACCTATAATAATCATAATCTGAATACAATGACTGCAGCCCTTAGGGGTTGTGTCCCACAATTTGTCAATATCGAAATGAAAACAAAAACCAGAACAAGTTGTCGAGACTTACTGTTTTGAGGCTCTTGGCTCTGTTCAGAAGTATTAGCTTGTTAAAAAGGATTTGCTGGTGTGCTTGGCTGGCTCATTCAGGAGAGCAGGTGACTCTTGATCTCAGGGTTGTGAGTTCCGGCCTCACCTTGGTTGAGATTACTTAATAAAAAAACAAAACAAACTTAAAAACAAAAAAAGAATTTGCTGAGTCTTCGTTTCCATATAGTGGCCTTTTAATAAAGACTGTAACAGAGCAGAGGACATAATTTGCCTTTGAAATAGATGGCTAAACGGAACAAAATTACTCTGCTGATTCGTTTTTCTGAATCAGCTAAGTGACGTACTACTGCAGGTTCACATCCCTTAACTAAAACTTTGGGACCAGTACCCCATTATCAATGCATTCTTATTTCTGCTGTAAAATACATGAATATTTTACACTATTCATATTACAATATTCACTAAAGGGAAATAATCTCTCATCGGTGCAGGCAGTTTTTGCTGCCAAACAAGGTTAAAAAGAAGCTTATGAGAAATGAGTTTCGATAGATGGTGGAGCTCTGCCATCCTGTATTTCATGGAGGAGATGAGAAATGTTAGATGTAGGGGCGCCTGGCTGGCTCAGTCGGTTAAGCGTCTGACTTTGGCTCAGGTCATGATCTCACGGTTCGTGGGTTCAGGCTCCGTGTCGGGCTCTGTGCTGGCAGCTCGGAGCCTGGAGCCTGCTCCGGATTCTGTGTCTCCTCTCTCTGCCCGCTCCTGCTTATGTGTGCACACGAGTGTGCGCGCTCTCTCTCTCTCAAAAATAAAATAGGGGCGCCTGGGGGGCTCAGTCATTTTGGAGTCCAACTTCTGCTCAGGTCCTGATCTTGCGGCTCGTGAGTTTGAGCCCTGCATTGGGCTCTGTGCTGATGCCTCAGATCCTGGAGCCTGCTTTGTTTGGATTCTCTGTCTCCTTTTCACTCTGCCCTTCCCCCGCTCACACACTCTCTCTCTTTCTCTCTCCTTAAAAAATAAATATTAAATAATTAATAAAACTTAAAAAATGTTAGATTTAGTTTCTAGATTTTACTTTAAAATTTTGGATGACTTCATACTTTGAAGAGGTACCAAGCAGCGTAACATTTTGTTTTGCGTCGCAGTGCCGGTGGCGGGGTGCACATCGAGCCCCGGTATAGGGAGTTTCCCCAGCTGACCAAGTCCCAGGTGGCCCAGGCCGAGTTCTTCAGCGGGACCATGTGGTTCTGGATTCTCTGGCGTTTCTGGCATGACTCGGATGCTGTGCTGGTAAGTGCAGGAGAAGAATCTAATATATTGATAGAATACTGTAATTACTTAGATTATTGCTAATATATCAGTAGTTTAGCTGTTTAATTTCCTGTCTGTAGACCGTTTTGCTCTCTGGATATATCCCTTTACCACATTGTCCGTGGGCACATGCAGGAATCCTGTTACTAAATGAAATACATGATCTCTGGCCTTTTCCACCCAAAGGTATATGTGTTGGTGCTCCATCTCTTACGGTTTCTGTTAGGTTGCCATGCTTGGAAGGAAGACTAGAAACGAATTCTTTTACCTTCTGAACCAGGGGTTCCTTGGTGGGTTACATTTTACACTTTGATTTCTTTAAATGCTGAATGTCATCCAGTCTGTGCAGGGGCCCAGGACAGCCAGACTGGGGAGGGAGAGATGTGGGCTAATTTGTCTTGAGGAGAGAAGTTAGCTGCTGGTAACTTTCTAATATGTTATTGCTTCAGCTGAGCTTTTATCACCTTTGCACGGACTGTTCTCTAGGAAATTAAGCCTTTAAGCCATTGAAGTCTGTGCTTGTTGATCTAGAGAGGAAAACGGTCTTCAGTATACAAGTCTCTGATGCATCAGGTTGATTTAGGTCCCATTTCCCTTAGAACTCTGGGCCCTTGCCACCCCGTAGGGAGCTGCTTAGTGTCTGTGAATCGGCAGCATGCGGACGTTCCTAGCTCGCGTAGGTCAGCTGTCAGGAGCGTGTGTGGCTGCGTGGCCTGAGACGACGATGCCACCGGATGCCCCCTGGATCGGGACAGAAGATGAATGAGCCCACCTGAGGCTTCCAGGTCTCCCTGCAGGAACGACAGGACACCTTGAGACGTTCTGTTTTACCAGGGCTTCAGCGCACTGTCGAGCTGTGGGGTGCGTCTCCCTACCCTCGGTCACTGATGGGTACTCAAATGCCGGCTCGGGCCGGTGGCTCCAGCGTGGGCAGCCTCTGAAGTTCAGGCCACAGCTCAGAGTGAACAGACTGAAGAACAGTGGGGCCCTCCAGTAGTTAAAGTAGTAGAATTTGTTCCCGTGGCAGGTCAGGGGCTGTGGATAGCTTTGTATATTTTTTCTTTTGAATTTAATTCACTGTATGGACTATATGTACGTTCTTCACTTGTTTTTAATGGTTGTCCCCAGGGTCACTTTCCATATCCTGATCCTTCCCAGTGGACGGACGAAGAACTAGGTATCCTCCCTGACGACGAAGACTGAGTGTCGATGGAACTCCTTCTGAGCGGGTATGCCCCGGATTCCTTTGTAAACTTGTTGGCCTTGTGTCGACACAGATGATTGGACTTTATGAGGGTCTTCCTAAAAGCATGAAGGACAATGAACTGTATTGTGCCTGACTTCTGCCTTTAGTGTTTTCCTTTCTGCTGTCTTGCTTCCACCCCTCATTTGTGGTCTCCTCTTCCTTCTCACTTTTCACTGTTTGTTTTAAAAAATTCTCTTTTCCTGAGTTATGTTACAATTTAGGGTCCCATTTATCCATCTTTTTTTTTTGTTTGTTTATTTTGAGAGAGAGTGTGCATGCATGAGCACAGGAGAGACAGAGACAGGGAGTGAATCCCACGCAGGAGCACGGAGCCCATCGTAGGGCTCAATCTCATGACCATGAAATCATGACCTGAGCCGAAATCAAGAGTTGGACGCTTGACTGAGCCACGCAGGTGCCCCTATTTATTTATTGATGAGAGACTTTTTAAAGTATCAACTCTGCAGGGAGATTATAGAGTGGATAAGACAGATACGGAGCTCACAGTTATGTGTGTAGTTGCAAAAATACCATGTTCTACTCTGAGTGTTTAAATATAGAAAGTTCCAGCTTATGGGAAGTGGTGTTATATGGAATTGTGTGGAGATTAATCCTAAACAGTAGTAGGTTATGGTCCTTCCATTTTTCCAAATTAGCAATCAGAGGTTTTCTTCTTTTTTTTTTTTTTTAATGTTTTTATTTATTTCTAGGAGAGAGAGAGAGAGACAGCGTGAGCAGGGGAGGGTCAGAGAGAGAGGGAGTCATAGACTGAAACAGGCTCCAGGCTCTGAGCTGGCAGTCAGCACAGAGCCCAACGCGGGGCTCAAACCCACGAACCGCGAGATCATGACCTAAGCGAAAGTCGGACGCTTAACCGACTAAGCCACCCAGGCGCCCCAGAGGTTTTCTTCTTTTGAAAGGTTCTAGTAGAACCTTCAAGGGTTAAGACATTCTCACGTGACAAGTTTTTTACATCAATCATTGCGTTAATAATTGCCACCATGCAAAATGCCTTGGAAATTGTTTTATTTATTTTCAGGAATTATTTTAAAGGCTAGGAAGCATTAAATGAAAAAGTGTTCTTGTTACATCATGTTATTAGTATTGCTGTTATAATTTTAATTAGAAGTAGCCTCTTGAAGGGCACCTGGGTGGCTCAGTTGGTTGAGCGGCTGACTTTGGCTCAGGTCATGATCTCACAGTCTGTGAGTTTGAGCCCTGCGTCTGGCTCTGTGATGACAGTTCAGAGCCTGAAGCCTGCTTTGGATTCTGTGTCTCCCTCTCTCTCTGTCCCTCCCCTGCTTACACTCTGTTTCTCTTTCTCAAAAGTAAACATTAAAAAAAATTTTTTTAAGAAAAAGAACCCCAACTATTGACGTGAAAATTACAGCAATTTTAGGGTATGGAGGGAGGAGGGGGAAAGGAAAAAAATGCCCCCTAAGGGCAGGTGGTTAAACTATCTTATAGCTTGTTTTGTGTCTCTGGATTTACAGTGGGTAACGCAGGGGTCCCTGTTTCCAGGACCCTGCCTCCCTTCGGTAACGTGACTGCCAGCACAAAACTCCTCTTACACATTTCCCAGGATTCTCACACACGGTCACTAACATTTTATTTTAAAGATAAGACTATAAACCCTATGAGAAAGTAAGGTGATTTGCTTCTGTAGAAGACTACTCGCGTGATTGGTGCTCAGTGAATGCCTGAATAATTGAATGAACAGAAGTTATGGATTTGAATTATTGAAAATAAAAGTATTGAAAGCTTTCTACTCTCGTTTCCCTGCAGGAGCCAGGTGAAAGTCTCAAGCAGTTGCGGACTTCATATCGTATGTGAAAGTTGTACATTAAAGTGCTTTGCTCAACAGAGAGGAGCCGAGTTATGGATGTTTCTGATAACGACACCCACCCGTCATGGATTATTTCCTGTGCTCCTGACTGGTTACAGGCCCTTTCACTGGATCCGCTGGGGTACCCCGTGGTGTAGACAGACGTTAGCTCCACTTCTCAGTGAGGAAATTCAGGTTCAAGGAGATGACGTAACTTTGCTTGAGGGTCACATATTGACGAGCAGTGACATCAGGCCCGACCCTGCATCTAACTGCAGCGCCCTCCTCCTAGGGAATGTTGTGTAATATGTATGTTGACAGTTGATGTGAAAACTTGCCATTTCTCTGCTGCTGGAGTTTTCTTGCCTGACATACAGAGGTTAGAGCTTCGTGTAGTCCGTTTCTTGTGTACATATATCACCTGTGGGCTGGGCGGTGTTGAGCGGCTGTTTGTGGCGGACCGGAGAATTCTTACGGCTGGAGGAATGGGAGATACTGGTGAAATAGGATATTCCGCTTTTTCTAAAATGTGTTTCAGAGTACTTTTCAACTTTCTGTAGCATCACAGTTGTGATAGGACAGAATTTCCTTCTATCCACAGATAAAAATCTACGGTTATAGAGTGGCTTAAGGATTTGCCTAGAAGCATAACTAGTCATATTTTTAATTTAGGTTTTTCACCACTGAAGTGTTGGGAATACATTGCTAAGCAAGACTGATGAGATGATTCAGGTTTTTAAAAATGTTCTTTAAGTTTATTTAGAGAGAGACAGCATGAGTAGGGGAGGGGCAGAGAGAGAGGGAAACAGAATCCCAAGCAGAGTCCGCGCTGCCAGCACGGGCTTGAACTCACGAAACCACGAGATCATGACCTGAACCGAAAACAAGAGCCAGATGCTTAACTGACTGTTCCACCCAGACGCCCCAAGATGATTCAGTTCTTAAGGAACGTAAGACTTTAGGAAGGGAAGACGGACACACGTTGGGTGCATGAGATTTACGGGGTGCTCTGAGGGAAATACTGTTGGGTGACGTGCCACAGGTGGGTGGGCACTGATGTTTTGGGTCGGAGGCACTTGAACATGTAGGAGGACCCATCTGTGTGAGGGTCTAAGGGGAGAGCGCTCCAGGGACAAGGAGCGGCAAGAACAAGGCCTAGGGTGGGACGAAGGTCACCGTGTTTCAAGGGCACGAAGTCCAGGGGGTTCCCGTAGGTGAGGAGGCCGGGGGACTAGGTGAGGTTAACGGGTCATGGTTTAGATTTTATGTTTGATGCTCTGAGCAGAGGTGATCCTTGGTCCTCAGCTGTCCAGAGTGGACACGGGGGCAGCAAAGTTGAAGCAAGAGCAACAGTGTCCCCCTCCCCACTCCAGCCACAGCCGTCACGAGCCTGTTGTAAGCGTGCTAGACACTTGCTTTTGTGTTCATTCACCTGGGAGAGAGTGTGCGGTCTCCCTGTTAGAGCTGTAAGATCTTTAAAAGGCCATCTCTTCTCTGTACTTTTTAGGTCTAATTTTTGTTCTCTCTGCACCCCCCACCCCCCATCCAACAAAGTGCTTTATTGATCTATACTCCTCTGTAACCCTGAACTCAGGTAGGATAATCCCATTAGCTCTTTGCCTTAGAAAGCAGAGTTGCTTGATCTGAATTAAAGGTAACGTTAGCAAACAGTAGTCTTCTACCCTTAGCCAGTGTGGCATCCACATACATGATCCTCCTTTTCACAATTTGGACTGGGAAACCGGTTTGAGCTGATGGCGGAGGTTGTCCTGGCCTTCTTGCAAAGTCACAGGCCTCCACCCTATCGTATTTGACTCGAAGCCCCCAGGTGGTGGGGTGCCACCCCCGTGCAGTCAAAAGTCCGGGTATAACTTTAACTTTTGGCTTCCCCAAAATGTAATAGCCTACTACTGACTGGAAGCCTTACTGATAACAAACAGGCAGTTAACACGTTGGGCACATTATCTGTATTATATACTATATTACAGTAAGTCTGGGGAAAATATGCAGAAAATACGTGTATAGTACTATACTGCGTTTATCGAGAAGAATCCTGTGTAAGTGGACCAGCATAGCAGCATAGTTTAAACCCATGTTCAGGGGTCAGCGATACAGCTTCTGGGAAAATAAAGTAGGAGAGGGTACCAAAGAGAGTTCAGTACATCTGACTGACGGTTGTAGTTAGAGAAAGCTTATGGCTTAACTACGGGCCAGGCACTGTGGTAAACACTTTGTGTTAACTGTATTAGGTCCGCATTTTCCTTTCCATATTATAGATGAGGACATTGAGCTACAGATAGGTAACTTGCCCACGCTCACACAATTAGAGTTGAGGTTCATATCCTGGCTTGCCGGCTCGCTCTAGCCCAAGTTGGATTATCTGAGAGTCAGTACAGCATTATGTAAACCTTTTTGATCATGACTACTCACAGATAGTTTTACACTGTGACCTAGAATATAGGCTTGTGTGTGTCTAATCCAAGAAGTTTTATGACACAGTACTTACCTGTGATACACACTAACTTATTCTAAAATGGTTAACTGACACGGATTCTACCACCCACTAATGGGGCTCTGAAAAACTGGCACAGTGCTTAATGAATTCACTCTGGGGTCAACCTTGCTGGATCTGACTCATTGCTTTACCATTTATTTGATGTGACTTTGGGCAGATTACTTATTTCATCTCTTCTTCAACTACCTCATTGGCAAGAGGGATTAGATTAAATGCATTAACACATAAAGCCACTAGAACCACATCTGCTGTGAAGGAAATCATCTCTAAATGTAAGCAACTGTTATTTCTAGACCATTCGGTCTGAGCTAAGCTTTTGTTTTGTTTTGTTTTTTTTTTTTATAGTTTGAGACAGAGACAGAACATGAGCGGGGGAGGGGCAGAGAGAGAGGGAGACAGAATCTGAAACAGGCTCCAGGCTCAGAGCTGTTAGCACAGAACCTGATGCGGGGCTCCAACCCACGAACCGTGAGAACGTGACCTGAGCTGAAGTCGGACGCTTAACCGACTGAGCCACCAGGCGCCCCTGAGCTTAGTTTACAGAGACCCTTGAATCCCAGTCCAGTTTCTATAGAAAAGCCTCAGATTCATCATGTGAAAACATCTCAGCAGATGCAGGGCCACCCTGCTGTCAAACACTTTAGGATGTCCCTCCTGTGCTGACAAGTAGCAAAAAGTATGCTCCAAGTAAGTTTTAGGGATTGGTCTGCTAGCTGGAGGGAAAAGATGTACCTTCACAAAAGGTAAGGCAGGTGAAGAAATGACTGATGGCAACAGAGATCAATCGTCATATTTTAACACAAATTTATAACGTTTCCTACAACGTTGGGAACCCAGAGCACAAACCCCACAAGGGAGGTACAACGTAAGGATCCCTGGTTGTACGCACGTTATACGAAGGTACAGAAGTCCTCTTGGTTCTGCGTGCCCCTAAAACTTTTCTGGAAGAGGTCGACCGTGGCACCGCCACCGCCTCCTAGAGGGCGTCAGTGGGACCACAGTGTATTGTGGAGGAAACAGGAAGTGCGTGTCCCGGTAGCTAGGCCTCTGCCTCTTGTCACTCACCTGAGCAGTGGCTTGCCCACTGGCAATGACAGCAGGGCAAGTGGAGAATGTCAGGCACAACATCCACTTCTAGCTACAAACTGTCAATGGAGCAAACACCCATTTCCGTCCAAATTTTGTTACAGCCATTACAACCATAACAAAATGGTACATACATACGCATAGAAAATGGCACATACTGCTCATGTTGAAAACAAGTCCGGAGTCTTGGTTATGTCATCCTTGCAGATTCCTCTGGAGTATCTGACAATGAAGGGAACTGAACTAGAATATCTTTTTTTTTTTTTTTTTTTAAGTTTATTTTGAAATAAAAGAGTGGGCAGAGAGAAGGAGAGAGAGAATCCCAAGCAGGCTCCGCACTGTCAGCACAGAGCCCAATGCTGGGCTTGAACTCATGAACTGAGATCATGACCTGAGTCAAAACCAAGAGTCGGACACTCAACTGACTGAACCACCCAGGCGCTCCTGGACCAGAATATCTTTAAGAACTCCATCTGCACTAGCATTTTATGAGCCTAGGTGTAGTACATACTCCAGACAGCAGGTCCAATTATCACAGCTCCTGATAAAATTTCAAAACTAGTGTCGCAGAGTGCTTTATAGAATTTTGTCACACTAATGAAAGTGTTCATGTTCTAGACTAAATTTTCAGGAAACCTTGTAGATGTAAGGTAAAGATGTAAGTAATACATCCTTAAAACATAAGGCCCCAATCACTTTATTGTAATCATGTATGAAGGTTATTTAAAAATGAGTTTCTAGGGGCGCCTGGGTGGCTTAGTCGGTTAAGCGTCTGACTTTCGCTTAGGTCATGATCTCGCGGTTCGTGGGTTCGAGCCCCGCATCGGGCTCTGTGCTGACTGCCAGCTCAGAGCCTGGAGCCTGTTTCAGTCTGTGACTCCCTCTCTCTCTGACCCTCCCCTGCTCACGCTGTCTCTCTCTCTCTCTCCTAGAAATAAATAAAAAAAAAAAAGGAAAGGAATTAAAAAATGAGTTTCTAAAAAAAAAAGTTTCTAAAGTCTGTATTACAGAATTAGTTTTTTTTTTTTTTAATATGAGAAAGCTAAATTCAGAGAAAATACTGGTGTCCACAGAATTTTATGGTTAGTTGGAGGGGCATGAAAAACAGAAACCAGTTCCTCAAATTATGTGCCATCCTGAAGCTTCTGTTCCTTCATACTGTTCTCAGACAGAGGGTTTCCAGGTGAGGTTTTAAAATGGTTGACTTGTGGAAACTGCCCAGTTATCTGACATAGCTCGAGGTTATTCTAGGAGCCATTCTGACTTCAGGTCATGAAATTATACACAAAATGAACTCTGGGGTAACTAGCATTTAAAAAAAAAAAAGCAAAGTAAAAAATCATAAGCACATAGTTTCGAATACATGTCTACGAGTACTTTCTGTGTTCCTACATAAAATGTGTTGGAAGTTGTGTCAAAAAATTGGGAAGATACGATTCAAGGGGAACTTCTCCGGACTGATTCCTTCAATGACTCAGTTACTGCATGCACTTCAACTGAGCCACTGGAGGGCAGCAGTCTGCCCACAGCCCTGAAACATACTTGAGTATCACCACGATCACCACCACCACCACCACCACCGGACAAAAGGCTTTCCCCACCACCATAGTGCAGTTGGTACAATGTACCAGGCATTCATCTCAACCACTTTAATGATATTTTTCATACAAGTAACTTCTACCACCAAGTAGTGATTGACAGTGTATGAAACAAAATGCACAGCTCCCGGTCTCCGCGTCACCTGGAAGTACTGTCAAAACCCCGACTACTTACGTTATTGAATGGGATGTTGCTAGAAAAAGAATCTTGATAAAGACATCTCCATGCAGTCAATCTTTATTATAGCAGTATTCGCATATTCACATCAAGTACATAGAACTTTTTGCCTTTTATATAATACAGAGTTTTTAAATAACTTTACACAGAAATAAATCTCTTCAATCTGAATTTCAGCTATCTTTTTAATTCTCCATGCTTTCTATCGAAACTGAACAATATTTTCCATTGTACAAATTTACATGAGAAAAACTCCCAAGTACAAATGAAGGGACCTGAGCAGGAAAGAACCAAAGTATTGAGGAGTGGGTACAGGGAAGATTAAAAAAAAAAAGAGGAAAAAAGATTCAAGCAAACATTGAGGATTGAGGGACAAGGGGGAGACATTATCCATTTGACTGAAAATAAATGTCTTTTTTATGAATTGAAAAATAAGCTTTAAAAATAGTTACTCCATTGTAATTTTTGCAAAGCAGGTATAAAGAGGTCTGTGGACAATTTAAAAGTCCCCATTTTTTTCACTGGGCACACCCCAGATTCCATGAGAACCTTTTCAATGCTTGAGTGGAACCGAAGCGAACTAAAGCCAAACCAACCTTTGGCTGTAAGAGAGAGAGGAATGTGAATGTGAATGGCCGTAAGGTTCGGACTGCTAAACCAGGAGCCGTTAATTCACTGCAGTTAAAACGCGAAGGACTTCCCTCTCCTCTCCCTTTCTAGAAGAACTGTCCTCAAACCAAGAAGTAAATGAAAAGGGGGGTGATTTCCTTTTTCTTGGTTTAAACCAAAGAGTAATCCTAAGTACTGAACTAGAATTCAAAGGGACGTATGTCGAGGAATGGTGAAATTCAGTCCCCTCGTCAGCTGTACGCTCCTAAGAAAGCCACTACTGAGCGAGGAAAGCGTCAGAGTGTGCAACTAACATGAGAGAACACCACAAAAATAGAGCACTGTGATAGTCCTTCAAATCAGGCCGCATCAGGAAGGCCAAATCAAGAACATAATGTGTGGCACGGCCAAAGGAAGAACAGAGGACCCAATGAATGCACTTCCAAACGGAGGAGGGGAATATGGCGCGCGCGCGCACACACACACACACACACACACACATGCACACACGCACACACACTCCTGTATGTAAACTATTAGAACATGAAGATAAATAAGACATAAAGGTCAGCCACTTATGTTGGTAATTAACAGGACTAAAAAGGCATTATGTTTCCACAGCTGGTTGTCATCAGATATGGAACATACACAAATGTATGAGGAAGGAATGATTTCTTTTAAAAAACTGTTCACAGTTTAGAATAAAAAGCACTTATTGCACTCTTACATTTTATTTCAGGTAATTATAGTTTATTTCCCACCGTCACATCAACTTTTCCCCAGCCCCACACTTACTCCCACACCCTCCCACCTCCCATTTGGTCCACGTTCCCTACGTGTGCGCCGACTCCGCGAGTTCTGCTGCTTACGCTAGTCTCAAGTTTCTTCCACCAAACCACGCGTGGGTTAAAAAAGGCTTAACGCACAGATGCAACGCAGAATCACTTTCAACACAAAACTGATACTGAAGTAACTTGTAACCCCGTCTCCACCCCTGTAAGCAGAAGCCCTCCTCTGCCGCGTCTCTGCCGCGACTTTGCCGCCTGGTCCCCCCACACGGTGACCACGGCCAGCTGCCCGCAGCGCTGGGCGGTGTGCTCGGCCTGCGGGCACGGCAGGTGCTCGCCCACAGCTTGTTTCGGGCACTAACACGAACAAACATTTCAGCTGCTTTCCAAGAGTACTTCGACCTATAGAGTCCTAAGACACAAACGCATCACACACACATACATACACACGCACAGACATACACGCCAGACATGCTGGCTGTGTCCTCATGCACTACAATTAGTCAGAACTGAATTCTCTTAAATAAAGTTATACATTTTAATAAAATTAAACATCTTAATAAAACTAATTTAGTAATTAATAAAACTAAACAGTTGGGTAGAAGGGGTCAAAGGATAAAAAATGTAAATAAAAAAGGATTAAGAAATTAACAGCTGAAGTTGTGGATGTTGAAATAAAAGATCTACCTAATCACTCTTTTCAGGTGGGGACGAACGATCCTTACGCATGTTAAAATAAAGCACTGTTGCTTTAAGATGGCAGGACTTCATGTTTCTGTCCTCCTCTACCTTAAAAATCCTGATAGAAACCGTTAATTACCCTTTCTGCCACTGGCAAAATTTAGGACTCAGTTTCAATTTCAATGTCTGCCCGAACAGGAGTGAAAATAAGTTACCGGAAAACAACCAAACAAAGCTTGCTGTCTAGTGTGCTGACTGGACAAAAGGCTCACCAGCATTCTGTCTTACCAGCTAGCAGCACACTGGCCACCTCCCTCTCCTCTGGCCAATATACAGCCCGGGCAGAGATACCGCCTCCTCGGGGCTCAACAACCCGCGGGCATCAGCAACACAACTTAGTACACCAGCCAGAGAGCCCACTGGAGACGGTCCAGGGCCCTTGCTGGGGGTGGCAGGGAATGAAACAAGACAGAAAATGTGCACCATTGAGCACATCCCATTCACACCCACTGGCCGCGTCCCTAACTGCCCCCATGCCCCTGCTTAAAGGCCCCCCCCGCCATGGCACCCCGAACAGCATTAGCAGGACAGCCCCACTTAATTTGCAAAGAAGTCCTGGGAGGCCAGTTTACATTTTAAACTCTGAAAAATCACTGTTTAGGTTGGCAGTGATCTGGAAAGTGATAAAATCAGATTCCATCCTCTATGTTATTAGCTTCTTCCTTCTCGCTCTGGAGAAGGGGCTGCTGCCCAGCATACAGTATTTCCAACCGCAAACGACAGCAACTCCTTAAAATGTCTGTCAAACGTTTCTGTTATATAAAAGTTCCATGCTTTGAAGAACCTATTGGAGTACAAAAAGTTTCTCTAGAAATGTCACTGAACTATAATTTGCAACCTACTTGCTCTATGTGATAAATATATCTGACTCTACTAGGGAATACGTGCTTTAAAAAAATAATTTTGTTCACTGAAAATTTACCTGTGTTTTCTCATTTTTTAAATGTGATTTCGGCTATAAACCCGTGAGTGCACTGATCTTTGCAGTCTACGTTGCGCTCTATAAAATATTAACATAGCTGAGTTAGACCAGAGTGGCTGCTCTCTTCACATATCACTGATTTCTGCTAAAATTTTAGCTTTTTATTGCATCGTGAAGGCACAGTAAAGATCATTTGGCAAATTGTCAAGGTATTTTTCTAGAGCCTCACCTACACCATTTTCAGTGTATGATCTCTAAGCTCTCTGCTGTTCATACAGCAAACTTTCTATATCTGGTTACTTTTTTTTTTTTTTTTATAGCCTAACGGTTGGAATCTGCTAGTCCCAAGGTGCTGATATTCTAGCGCTAACGATGCCAACTCAGACAAAAAGAGTATCAGGGGCATCATCCCACCCTCTTCGCCGGGCGGTCTTTCTACAGATGGGCCTGTGCATGTGATGAAGCTGCGGCTAACTCATTATGCAGATGTGCCATCTTGCCAAGCCTACTGGAAATGAAAAGTGTCTCCCTGTTAGTGAACTATTACTGTAACTATTTAATTTCATGCAACTGACTTAAGGTTAAGGTTCAGAAGCGCACCCCTAAACGGATTCTGGCACCACCTGCAACAACGTTCAGAAACTCTGGGCTACGTTTTCAGTATTACTGCTGAAACGCATAATGCCCTTTAGGACAAAATGAGAGTGCTCGAATACAAGTACACCTAAAAGTTAAAATCTTAAATCATCTTCATGTTCTAGAGCTCCTGACTTCTCATATCTCAAAATAAATAACCATTCATTACCTCATCCTGAGGAGGTAGTTTTTTGAAGAGGTCACCTGAACCCTGCAATGTGCTTCAAACTAAAGCTAGACGGCGGCCACACCAGGCCGGGGAGCGAGTGCACAGGAGGGCAGGCAGGGCCGGGCAGGGGGTGTGTGTGGGGAGGGGGTGTGGCAGCCCCGGCACTGCCCAGTGACCGAAAGAGAACAATCAGGTGCGAGGAGCGTGGGGACTGCACCAGAGGAGAATCGAGGGAATATTTACAGTTTCTGGTTGACAGTGCTGAAGTCTTGATCACCTCTTTGTAACTATACAATATGCTCTTTCTCTTCCAACACCAACACCAACGTAACATATAAGCTTCATACGGCGTTTTATTTTCTAGGGTGCCCCGGTACATCCTACGAGATCTAAGTGCAATCCGGGAGGGACTGGATGTTCAGGAACCAGAATTTGACAGCTAGGCAGAATCTTCCTTTAAGGTGCCTATAAATATGAATGATCACATTGGATTTTCTATTCACAAATCCCTTTTGTAAATTACTTTTTGGTCATTGTTATTTCAGTGGCAAAAGTCTAGACTCTACACTCTAGTTTGATGACAAAAAAGTCCATCAGGAATACTACATACTTTGAAACAATCTTTTATGTTTGCTCTCAGGTTTTTCAGAAGGCTTCACTTCTCCTTACCCAAAATAAAATACACTATAGAAGGCACCGCAGCCACTTTACAGAAAAGACAGTAACTACAACCTTACAAGATAGTCAATGAAGCAGCCACACACTATCTGTACAACATTATTCATAAAGTGCTTTGCACAAACAAGGAGTTCTTCCTTGCATCTTCTTAGGAGCTCAACAAGTCTATCTGCAGTCTAAGCATCAAAAAAATAAGAGGAAACCCCTTTACCATGTCATTTGTAAACTAGAGAAAAAACTATTTGATGGAAAAAAGGGAACAGAAATGTTAAAATTTTATTTTTATTTTTTTAAGGGCTCTATAAAAATCTCTCAAGAACACCCTGAGCCTGGCTTCTGGGCACAGCTTCATCTGTGATCATCTGTTCCCTCTTTTCAAGTGAGACAGCAACCTACTCTAAATAGGATGGAAAGAAAAATGTGTATCACCTCGAATTTTATTTTGCAGATTCCACTGCTAAGCTTCCTCCATCACTAGTGCTGTGCTGGCTCCCGCCCCCGGAGAGTCACACAGCCAGGCCTCCTCCAGCGCGCTCTACCTGCTCAGCAGGACAGGCCTACTTTTCCAGCCCAGCTCTCTACAGTCTTGGTAAAGGGAACACGCCAACCAGCTTAAGAGCATGGATGGGGGCATATTTAAAAAGAAAAAAATAAGCAATGCTTTTAAAAGAGAAGTAGCATTATGCACACAAGATGCTCTTCGTATCAGTACGAATCTTTGCAATTTCTGAATTTTGTAAGATACGGCTCTGCTCATGTAGGACTTAAGATAAACATACTGCTTTTCAAACTCATTAGTAGCTTCAGGATACTTCCCATTTTACTAGGACAACCTTCTAGAAGTCTGTGGAATTTTCAGTAGGCCTTCCTCTGAATACAGGTATTTTAGCAAAAAGCATCGAATGGCAGTGAGCTTAACAAGCTGAAAGATAGAGAGTGGGGTGAGTTACAATTTGAAATGTTTAAATACCAATTTCCAATTCCCTGATTCATTTTATAGGTCCTAATTGCCTTAAGGTCCTTGGCTTCATAGCTTGATTAGGCTAAGTACATTTGATTGGATATACATTCCTAAATCCTGGCAAGAGATTCTAGACTAATGATAAAAAGGAGGAATTTGTCACTAATTTGCCATTAATATATCTGGAGTTACTTTCTTTGTTACTACTGCGATGATGCCACCCTTTAGTAAAGGCCAAAGGAAGCTACGAGTAGGTTCTATTTTCCACTCAGGCAAAGACAAACAATGAGGTTTCTGGTGCCCCAGCAGCCCGGTCTATAAAAACAACTGCTGTCAGGCCTCACACAGCCTCCCCTCAATCCCAACACACCTAAACTTGCTCTGTTCTCTACTTGGGGAGTTCAGCTGCCAAATTACCCAACCTTTTGAAGACCAGGCTTGGGAATAAAGGAAGGAGAATGAATGGAGACACCACCATTTTTATTTTCGGTTGCATATTCTAGTTAAAGGACTGGAAAGAGGATGGAGGATGTAGTGTAGGAATAGTTGGAGGAAAACATGAGATATTAGCAAAGATGTTAGTGTGGATCCAGCAAGTACCATTAATTTAAAAATTATAAATATCTGTCATTACGCTAAGACTCCCCATATTTAGGTAGAGAAAAGGATAATGATCTTTCTTTAAAAGTTGTTTCTATAACAAAAATACAATTTTCCAGGATATATAATTCTGGTGGGAAGTATTATTTTATTCCAATTCAATTAAATCTGAAAATTATTTTCTTTTTAATAAAAATATAATAGAAGAAACTCAGAAATTAAAACTTGTACCTTACATTTAAATTACATAAATGTCTCACATTCAAAACTGTTATCAAGCAGTTTTGTAGGCTTTTAATTAGATAGATACTGCCATGGCATTTGGGCCCTGGACAAAGTAGCCACATAAGTACTTGATGACTGGAAGAGCTTAGGAGGAAGATATCAACTGTATTTTCCTGAGAACGTGCTACATTGTGGAGGAAACAAAAATCCCCAACACTTGTCTTCATTGCTGGACCCAGTGAGAAAAGAAGGCAATGTGTGCCAGCGCTTGCCAGCCCGCGCGGTTAGGCAGACACCCTCCGTGAGAAAGGAAACAAAGGCCAGAAACCCAGCAGGTCAGGAAAAAGATGCAGCATCTCCTTTTCCTCTTACACCAACACGGATCTCGTCCTCACCTCTCGTTCTCCATTTAAATAAAACAGCTTCACTTGATAAAAATGAGTCAAAGACTGGACATGCACCACACAGAAAGGCCATGCTGCATTTTTGTTCCATCCCTCAGAAATGAACGGCGGTGGCTAGGGGAAAGAGCTCCGCGACAAAATGCCAGAACAGGAAAGAGAACGATGCTTGGCGATTGCAAACTGCCCCATCAGGTGACCAGCCACACACGGATCTGGCGGTTAGAAGGGCAGAGCCGACCGGCAGGCTCTCCACAGCCAATCTCCCAAGCTGTAGCGGCAGCTCCTTTCCATCATGCCTGACCACCAAAAGGTCAGAACTCAGGCTCTCTCCTCTTCCTTCCTGGGAGTGGGCAGACTTGTATGCACGTGGTATTTGTGTTGAAGAAGAAACACTGGCAGCAGAGAATTCTGGTTCCTAAAACATTCTTCCCTCTTTTGTTGGATGGGAAATTCCATTCTGTTCCACACCAGCTTATGCATTGAAAATTCTGTATCTTTAAAAAAAGATTTGAGGAACAGAACTGTGTTTTGATGTTAACAAATTGTACGAACACAAGACTTAAGAAATAAGAGTAGATGTTGCCATGATGGTGTGGCTACTTGAAGGCTGCAAATTCTCCTGTAGAGGGAGGACAAGAGCTAATTTTAAAAAAGTTATCTCAAATAACCTAGAGACCTAGAAAAGCCTCACTGACACCTCACTGAAAGGTGACTAGCTATCTATTACAGGTCTAGCAATGTCATAACTAATTTAAAAGCAAAAATGGCTGAAACCCGTAAGAGAAGATAATTTACAGTACAGAGAGTAGGGGTCAAGTCCTATCAGTTACATATCAAGTTTGCAGGTAACTTCCCATGGGTGGTACATGCTATCGTTCTAATCAGGCTGAAAACCACTGCAACGAACAGACTTTCTCAGAAACTGATTGTAAATTAGTAAGGTTGATTTGTTGAATACTTTACCCACAAATTATCAACTCATTTCCATTATTATAATGCCACTATTAGATTCTCCCCATTTGGAAAAAGATAAAATTAAGTGGTCAAATGATTTGTCCACATGACACATTTGACTGAAGGAAAGAACATCTAGACTGTCCATTTTCTAGTTCATTTCTTTTTAAACTACCAAAAATTTACATATAGGAACCTGTCACTGAACATCACTTTCAGCACAAGGAATTCTTTAAACCACCAAGTCCCTTTGAGGTACTATATTCCGTTAGCTTACTGGCTTTGAGGGCTTATTGCCATTATTTTTCACCTATTAATTTGTTCATAGCTTCTACTTGTAACTGGGGGCTGGTTCTTCGTATTATATACACTATTAGTTAACTTCTGGGGGTTGGTTAATAACTGACAACTATCGGACTTTAGTCGGCCTTTTTCAGTAATAAGAGCTTGTGATGAGGCTCCAAGTAATCACGAACAAGATCTAGGGATTTAATCTAGGAATAACCTATCCTTCTGATTGCTGTTAGATTCCAATTGGTTACTAGAGAACACTGGTATGTCTCACTTCACAGGAGCCTGCTAATGACTGGATGACTGAACCTCAGGCTATATGCTAGTAATATCAGTCGATTAGACTAATAGTAGACTATTTGAGTGCCTGTTATATGTCAGGTGTATCACTGAATGCTTTACAACTTTTGCATCTGAGCCTCATAATAACTATAAGGCAGGTGCTATTCCTTCTCTTAATTTATAGAGAAGCAAGCTGGGGGTTTAGAATAGTTAAGTAATTTGCCTGATATCTCACAGCTAGAAAATGGCAGAGTTAAAATCCAAGTCTGGTGGGGGGCGGAGGAGGAGAGGCTCCACTATTAACACACCCCTAAACAATTCTCAATAATTAATCATTAGTTTTCCTATTCTGAATTTTATTACTAATTGCACTGCAGATAGTGATATTCTTTCCATCTAAGGATTCCTTTCACCAAGTAACCATGCTATTGTGAGTCAAAAGATCAAGGAAAGGTAAAAGAATTATTACTTCATATTTAAAGTTAAAAAGATTAGGGAGTATGGCACAGGTGAAAAAAAAATAGCCAAATTACCAGAACCTTGGGGAGACAAACTTAGAGCATAACCACAGGAGGCTAGTATGTTAACAGAGACTCTAGAAATGTATACACATTCATACTACCTTTGCTTAGAGTTTGAGTACACTATGGTTTTAAGGTTGCTATTGTTCCACTATTCTAATACATTTCTTTAAAGCAATTTTCAACATTCTAATTAGTAATCACTGTATCTGGCAGGATCTAAATGTCATTAAAGGAAGCCAATGTGAAAATAGGAATTACTCAGAAATCTTTATTTTAAGAAATGTCTAGATTTAATCTATTAAGTGAGAGAATATCAAAAGTGATAAAATTCTAAGTCAAATCTTATATACCGTGTTAAAAAATAACTTGGAAAAAATCTTCAGATGTTTCCCATCAATTATGATTAGACACTCCACTCTGTTAACAGTGTTCTACTCTACAAACTTAGAAACGTTAACCTTTAAAAAACAAAAATCACAAAACCATCCCCCCCAAGTACAAACTCTTGCCAAGAGACTACAAATCATACAGCAATAAAGTAAAGACTGAGGACCACCCTACCACTGTCTGCTGGCTCTAATGGGATGCACTTCTTTACATCATCAGACTTCAGGTCCAGGAAGAAAAAAGACAAAAAGAACTCAAAAGTTTAGGGATTGATAAAACAAAACTCTTTATATATATAAACCTGAAATCATGGAGAAATTTAAGAGAAGATGGGAGTACAGGCAAGGGATCTGCTTTTGGGGAAAAAAGCATATTTGGTCTTGCATTATCTGGAAATCTCTATTATCCCATCTTCTATACTATTTTATTTGAGGTAAAAAGAATTATTTGAAGTGAAAAACCCAGAATGCTATGTGGCTTTCTGAAATCTTGGTATATTAACTTCACTGTTGCCTGAAAAATCAGAGGCCAAAATGAAACTTTTTAAAAATCTCTTCCGGTTGCGAATAACCAAGTTCTATTTTCCATATGAGTTCATTTAAGATTAGGGTAGAGAACACTTGGGAAGGACCTGTGATTTTTAGATACTCTAAATATCAAGATTTGTTGATTTGAAAGCAAAGGATTTTATTAACTAGTTTTAAGATATTATTAAATAATTGTCTTTTATTCCAGAATTAAATGTATTTCAGAGGCTCTTATACATACAGTTTGATATATACTTCTTAAAGATAAAACATGCTATGAAAAATCTAGTATGTTATTTTGCACACAAATTGATCACCGTTTTAGATGTGTGGGGGCAGTCATTTGAAACTAAAGCAAGTCTCATTCTTTCTTTGTGGTGACCTTTAAGGAAGTTTTAAAAATATGACAGACATCTGGCACAGACACCCTGGACTTCTTAAATTCTTAAGAGAAATTATCACAGGAGAGATGAAGTATTTAGTAAAATGCTCAGTAACTGTTAATCTAATAAAGACTGTAACTGATAAGATGTTTTAGTTGTGATGTACCTGTTTCATAATATTAAGGGAAAAAAGGCGTTCATTTCCTTACATTGAGAGCGACTCACTTGAGTCAGAGGCCACTTAAGCTGTGTGTTGCACAGTCTCTATTTAAAGAGGATGATTTAAAAAATATTTTTAATGTTTATTTTGGAGAGAGAGAGAGAGTGCAAGAGCAGGGGGTGGGGAGGCAGAGAGAGGGAGACACAGAATCTGAAGCAGGCTCAGGCTCAGGCTCTAAGCCATCAGCAAAGAGCAGGGTTCAAACCCACGTACCGTGAGATCGTGGCCTGTGCTGAAGCAGGACCCTTAGCTGCCTGGACCACCCATGCACCTCGAGAGGATGATTTTAACTACTGCTTTAGTATGTATGTGGCTAGTACAATATTTAATATTGGAGAATTAACAACCAAAAGCATTTGATTAAATGCTGTGATCCCTCAACTACTTAAAATCAAGAAGAAAAATCTTAGTCCTCATCACTTGACTAGTAAAACGCCTAAAATGTCAAACAAAGTTTAGAGGAAGGCTGCCTGCTGAAAAAGGAAATCAACTTTAATAAAAATATCCGAGGGTTCAGGTTTTAAGAAAAACAGCAGTCACAAAGGAACGAATGTCCTTCTGTTTCAATTACCTAGTCAGAGAGGTTAACTTTACATATGGTTAGAAAAATGATGTTTTTCTTTATTTGGAGAAAATATCTACAATACGGCATAAAACAACAGAAAAGGAGACCACCATATGGCATCCCAGTGCTCTCTCCTTCTCTGCATCCATGCTATCTTCCATGCTATCTACACCCCTCACCCTGCCACGTTTTTCATGTTCTTCCACCAACACTTCCAGCGGGCCCAGTGTGGAGAGAAGAGAACTAACTACCAGGGACCCTTTGGAGGCTATGGCTGGAAGAGCTCAGCAAGGCCCTCCGGCACAGGAGACTGAATGGAGTCAAAGGCAGAGAGTGGGGGTGCTGGGCAGCTGTCAGTGAAGGGGCAGTAGGGGGGGAAAACGGTGAGCAAAGAAAAGAACATACGGGTGAAGCAAGCATGCTGAAGAACTACGGAAAGAGCTATATCAATATACAGATCATTTGACTCCTGTGCCTTAAAATGCCCAAAGCTCTGAGCACGGAGTCTTCTACAGACACTGTAAAAACATGGTTAGCTACATGCTTGCTATTCAATTTGTGATAAACCAAACCCCACTGAGTAATTACTACTAGTCACTAATGTCACTAGAGGACTTAGAAATCCTACACCTTAATGGTTTCCAATGTGCTGTATTCTTTTATGCCTTTCTCGTTCTTAGTTTTGAAACATGAGAAATGTTCTTTTCCACTACTTTTCCCTAAATTGAAAGGCACAAATCCATTCTGAATAACATGAGTGAATGGTATTATTTGTCTTAAACTACCAAGATAAGAGGCAAAAGGTATGCCATGCTTCTCATTGGGTAATCTTCCTGGATGAAATCTCATCCATTCAAACTAGAAAGTATTTTATTTTTATTATTTATTTTGAGAGAGAGAGAGCGAGAGAGAGTGAGCAAGCACGAGTGGAGGAGAGGCAGAGAGAGAGGGAGAGAGAATCCCAAGTAGGCTCCACACTGTCAGGGCAGTGCCTGATGTGGGGCTCGGGAACTCATGAACTGTGAGATAATGACCTGAGCTGAAATCAAGAGTCTGACGCTTAACTGACTGAGCCACCCAGGCGACCCAAGAAAGTATTTGAAAAACTTATTTGCGGTACTTAAGAGCTAAAATATCATTAAAGTCTTCCCAATTTTCTTCTTTATTGGCTTCGAAGGACGGTATTTACGCAGATGTTGTCTGTGTGCCTGCATAACCCTGAAATGCCTGTTATATTTAAAGATCATCACCGTTCCAAACTGAATAAATGAAAATGGATTTAAATGGCTGGCTCTCAAGTAGAGATGGTAATTTCTTTCCTAAGACACCAGCAATACTGCCTCTTTCACTTTTGATTCCCAGTAAAATTTTGGCTCACAGTAAGAATATAACGACTGACACAATACAGCCATTTCTTACATAAGAAAATGATAACCATTAGCGCTAACAAATACTTCATACTGTGAGATAAAAAAAGAATAGCATTCATTCATAAGAAGAACCTTTCTGAACAAAGAATATATGGAACACAGAAATTTTATGACACACATGGATAAGGTGATTGTTCAAAAAGGCATCACGAGAGGGAAGTGTAAAGTAATAATTTTTAAGAAGTCCATGACCTCGTTGTTGGCAACTGAAGATATCTAAATAAACAAACCCAAAAGTTTCACAGAATTCTGTCAAGCTTTTTAGGGAGAGGAGGAGACAATGCATTTGTAAGGAAATTCAACTTCCATGTGAATAAGACATCCTTAATAATGAGGAAACATTACTGAAAAGAAACCTCAATTTATCACATTTGCCCAATAAAAATCCACACTTCAATCATATTACTCATGTCAGACATCCACTCCTCAGCCAATGTCTTTGGTTACCTGCACCCAGAGTTTATAAAAAAAAAAGTCAGTCTATTGCCTTAAGGGAATAAAGGACATCCAAATTTTCCAAATTATAATAAAAGGTAGTTACAGAAAAACTATTAAGAATAAAAATAACGTATTCAACTCTCGTGCCTTCCTAAATGAGATCTCTTGGGCCTGCCTTGCTGCACATGGGCCTGCCTGCTGTCTCCTCTCTACGTGCAAGCCTGCGCATGGGGGCGGCACTGCTCTCCCGAGTCCCTAAGGGACAGGTGACAGCGATAACAAAAGGTGCAGGAGAAAAGTTTAACTAGAGTTTAATAATTATAATAAGCCAGTAAATGAAACCAATTTGTAACAGGAAGTAAAGCCTCCGGAAGAGGCACTGCAAATGTTCAGCAACGTCTGTGCATTTTCAAAACCCTTGGAAGTTGAAAATCCAATGCTACGTATACATTTTAGGTCGGGAAATAATTATATCTAGTCTTTAAAAACCTCACATTCTTTGCTTCACCTTTTTTAAAAAAAGAAGGTGCTATCCAGCTTAGCCAGTACAGAACTGCGCCTACTTCCCCCTCCTTGGGCCCAGCCCCATGGCACCCGCGCTCTCATCTAACTTATCTCAGTGGACGGGAAACGCACCATATCCCCCTGCCTGGATGGGTGTTTTTGGAGAAGCACAAGCATAGAGACTAAAATCCTCCGTCTGGAAGCCAGCCCGATTCAAGGAGGGCTCTGATGCACTGCGGTGAATTTTTGGCAATGAGCGGGCCAGCAGCTCAATAGAGGCAAGAATCTAGTAAAGGGAAAGAAAAAAAAAAAAAAGAAAAAAAAGTAGAATGAAAATCTAGGTGGTGTTAATCTTTAATACCCGCATCATACTTAACAAGAAAGCACCTGAAATCTTACACTGTTTTGAGTATTATCCTAAAAGCCTGAAAAACTACTAAAGAAACTGATATTTTTTCCTTACAAAAAAAAGAATATTACCAAACTCCCATAGCTTTAATCTCTGTAAAACGAATGGGGAAAGTAACCTACAGTTAGCTTTTATTTACAGTTTAGATCATTTGCCAGCTTTGGAACAGTAAAGAATACAAAATTTTAAACCAACTGTATACTTATCTCATAGACCACAGTCCCTTTTGGAAAGAAGATGGAGCATAAATCAGTACAGCACTATATGGCTTCACAAACAGAATCAAGAGAGCAACTCATTCTTTGAGAAACTTAGTAATAGGAAATGTCTTACACATACATGATTAAAAGTAGGACCCCAGAGACCCAGACTGCTAGTGGCACAGAAGTGAGAAGTGAGAAGGGACAATCCAAGAGTGAAGGAGAAGACAGGACAACAACAAATAGACACATTTCCACAAAATGTAGAAACTCAGCATATTTTAAGGTACAAAGAAACAGGTTATGACCTTGAAGGCATACAGTATGGTCACAGATATTCATAATCATGAGACATATGTGTAAAAGGCTTGGCACAATGCCTAGAATATAGTAAGTACTCAATAAACTTTAGCAGCCATCACTATTATTATTTTTCTGAGCCACCAAAACTTTTTTAAATGTTAAACTGTAATCTGTATAACGATTAGTATAAGGCAAAGAAGCAATGTTATAAAACATTTTAAATTATAAGCATAACACACAAATAAAAATTCAAATAATACAGAAAAAGTTTAAGTCCTACCTTCCAGGGGTAACCACTGTTAAAGAGTCTATACTTTCTTCTGGACCTTTCCTATGCATAAACATGCACATATGAAAACAGAGCCCATCCCCACCCTCATCACCATTTAAAGTGGTATCATTCTACACATATTTTTCTGCATTGCTGTCTTTTTTTCCCCCCTCACTAACATCCATGCCATTTAGAGAGCTACCTTGATCTTTATTTTTTCCTATTATGGTAAGCATTTCTGTATATATCTGAACACTTGTGGAAGCAGGTTCTGCAGCATACCTTTTCAGGAGTGGAATTACCAGAGCAAAAAGTATATACATTTTAAGTTTATGAATTCTAGCAAGTCCGTTCACAAGGCCACACCAATTTACATTCCCAACAACACTGTTAAAAAATTTACAAGAAAGGCTCTTCCTTACTTCCCAATACTGTTCCCAATGCTGGATATTGCCAATCTGAGAGAGAAATTCAAGATGTACTTCACGGCTACTCTACATTTTACTGACTGTCATAGAACTTTTAACATCCTAAGTTCATTCACCATTTGTATTTCTTTTTGAATCACCAGCTCATATCCTCTGCTCATTTTCTATTACCTTTTACTTATTGATTTGTAGAAGGCCTTTGTATAATATCAATATTTATATTTTGTTATATATATGCTATAATTATCTTTCTGTTTTAGAAGTTTAAAAACTTTTATGGTAGTCAGACCTGCTCATCTTTTCCTTTATAATTTCTGGATTTTATCTCTTGCTTATAAGGAAAGCCTTTTATCTCAAGGTTATAAAAAAGACTTCCTATTGTACAGTTTTGTTTTTTACATATAAATCTTTAGCCGCTTAAAATTTATATAGTTTTTGTATAGCGTAAAAAGAGATCTTGTAATGAAAAATTAAAAATAGTACTTAAGGCGTTCAATAATCTGAAAAATTCAGACATGCATTTCATTTTCTGATATTACACAAAAAATAAAATGTTGCTTATATTTAGAAATATGAACATTTTGTCCCTTTTAATACCACTCAAAAAGTGGCCCTATGGGTCACTGGGTTGATTCAATAGAGTGTGCAATGTGATCTTGGGTTGTGAGTTCGAGCTCCACTTTGGGTGTAGAGATTGCTTAAAAAAAGAAAATCTTAAAAAAAAAAAGTGGGCCTAGGAGCGCCTGGGTGGCTCAGGTCACGATCTCACGGTTCGTGGGTTCTAGCCCCGTGTCGGACTCTGTGCTGACAGCTCAGAGCCTGGAGCCTGCTTCAGATTCTGTGTCTCCCTCTCTCTCTGACCCTCCCCTGCTCATGCTGTCTCTCTCTCTCAGAAATAAAGAAAACATTAAAAAAAAAATTTTTTTTTAAAGTGAGCCTATGAGTATAATTTGCATTATTAATGTACACTGAGCAGGTTAAATAGTAAGCTACAGCACCTAGAATATGAAAAGAGAACATGGTGCAGGGACCTGCTGACCAGGGCCAACAACACTGGTCCTTTTATTTTGATACCTTCAACCAGCGGTTTTCCGGGTTAAAAAAAAAATAACTCTTCCTCAAAACAGTAACTCAGAATCGCAATACGTAAAGCCTAGATCTACCCACCCTGACGCAGCCCCTGAGAGATCTATACAAATTATAAATTCTATCTTCAATTTTTTTTCTTAAAAAAATTTTTTTAAAAATTTTAAGTAGACTCCATGCCCAACATGGGGCTTGAACTAACGACCCTGAAATCAAGAGTCCAGTGTTTCACCAACTGAGCCGGCCAGGTGTCTTTCATTTTTTAGATGGGAATGAAAGACCCACTCGCTCCTGTAACAGTGACTTCTGTGTAAGGGACCCAGTTACTGTTCTGTATTTAAGGGCAGAAGGCTCACAAAAGACCAACTCCATGACTTTGGAGAATTAAGGGAGTTAGCCCTTTCCACTTGAAAACTGCATTGATTTTTCAAGACCTATTTATATGGTGCTGTCAGGAATTTCCTAAGCATCATAAAAAACTGAATTTATACTACAATATCTAAACTTTCTCAGTGTGTTTAGGTACTTAGTTTCAGTTCATGAGGCTTATGAAAGATTATGAACTTCAGGGCTGTAGCCTTATAACATGAAAAGACAAAAAACAATGGTAATTTTCCAAGAATCAGAGAAAGGCAGACAGTGCCAACAGCTGCCTTTTCTTTTTGCTCCAGGTAGAAATGTTCCTCCAAAAGACCCAGGATGAAGGGGAGCTTAGAATGTGTTTATTTTACCACCAAGAAGACTTAAAGCAGCAGTTCTCAAAATGTAGTCTGTGGTAAAACTGTTTTCAGAGTAACATAAAGGTATTATCTGGCCTTTTCACTGTCATTATTTTGCAAAAGCAAGAGATACTCTCAGAGGCTACACGGTGGAAGGTGGTGCAACATAACAGATGCAGAGAATCTGGATGTCTTCTTTTTGTAGAGATTTGCATAAAAGGTAAAACGATGCCACCCTTCTAATTTTGGTGGTGGGGAAAAGGTAGTTCTTTTTCATTTCATAAAAATGTTATTTAGCATGTAATGGTTTTATTATGCTTAAATAAACTTATCAATGTTTTTAAAACTTAGTTTTGGGGTGCCTGGGTGGCTCAGTCGGTTAAGCGTCCGACTTTGGCTCAGGTCATGATCTCACGGTTCGAGGGTTCGAGCCCCGGGTCGGGCTCTGTGCTGACAGCTCAGAGCCTGAAGCCTGTTTCAGATTCTGTGTCTCCCTCTCTCTCTGACCACCCCCACACCCCCACTCATGCTATCTCTCTCAGAAACAAATAAAACGTTAAAAAAAATTAAAAAACAACTTAGTTTTAATTTCTAAAATGGCAATTATTACTTATATAAACAAAAGCTCTTTGGGGGCCTTCAATAATTTTAAGTGTGTGAGACCACAAATTTTTGTTTGAGAACTGCTAAAATCAAGTCTTTCTGAATATTCTGTCCTGGGATTCCAGGTTTCTAGATGCATCACCATTTGACCTTTATAAAATCCTCTCTATGCAATTACTTCTCTGTTGTCTGCACATGACCACATAGCATCCAAATCTGTAAAACGCAAACTGTGCGCCCCTGAAAGTATTGAAAAATCTGCATCTGGTATTAGTTTGTCCTCTTAGGTAACATCAAGCTTCTTCTTACTTGGGGAAAGAGTGGCCTCTCATCTCTTTTCTTTTTTAGGCACTCTGCCATCAATCTCTTCATGGCTTTCGGACAGTTACTTCGTACCTTACTGAGATCTGGAGATAGATATCCTCGTCCCACCATAAAAATTATCTGGGGAAAAAAAAAACATCACACAACTTTGCTGATAAGTTGAAAAATACATAAACATTGAAAATTCAGCAAGCTGCACATTTATGTGTACTTTTCTGCGTGTACATTGTTTCTTAATAAAAAGTTAAGAAACACAATGCTAGTAACCTGATTCTCACACATCGTATCATGGGGAACCAACACTGCACGGCCTGTCAGCTGAAGTCCTCATGACCCATGGACTGTTGTAAAGGGCTCCCAATCGCTCCCCAGGCTGCCAGTCTCTCCTTATCCAATCCATTTCCCACAGCCACGGTAATCAATCATGAGGCACAGATTGGGTTGTGCCTCTTTTCTACTTAAGTATTTTACTGAGTTCTTGATGGGCATCATGCTAAGTCCTTTATATATATGTAGCTGGAACCAAAAAGTTAACCTTTTTAGCAGTTGTTTTGGCATCTGCATTTTAAATTTGTTTGCTGAGGAAATGGACGAAACAGGGCATTTAGTTATGTAGATCTGAGAATCAGAGCTTCCTCCAAAGAAAAGAAGGTAAACCAGCCGGGAATTGAAGTTTTCTGTTTAATAAAGTAAAAAGGCTTGTCTTCCCTGAGTGTAGAGATTTATAATTTTTCTGATTTCTTAATTTTCTAATTTTCAGCTCTTTTTGAGAATGTGCAGGACAGACATCAGAAAGAGTGTTGGGACTCAGTGGAGATGGTGGGGGGGTGGGGCAGGGTTTATTCTTAGAGGGAACAGATCCAACAGACAGCCTGGGGCCAGGTGGAGACAACCAGTGAGAGATCCCTTGTTACTGGCCAGAGCTTATAAACCTTAGAACAGTCATGTCTGATCTAACTTGCTATTATTTCCTGTTTGGTGCCGTTATAGCCTGTGCTGACCTGTAAGCTGAGGTGCCGAGGGCTGCTGCAGTGCAAGCGTACAGCTGTCCCTTCCATCTCCCCTGACAGAACTGCCCTGCTCCCGCTTTATAAAAAGCATACCTTTCTGACCCACATGAAATTTAACGACAGTACGCATTGTGCCAAGGTGTAAAACTGCCGGTGTACCACACGGACACTTCTGGTATTTAACTGGGCTTTAATGAATGGGTAACAAATACCTTTGCAAGACAGCTAGTTTCCAATTCTTTGCTTTTTATGTAAAATTAACTGAACTGTAGGCTGATTACAAAACTTAATGACAAGCTATTACGTAATTTTTGGGACATTATAGAAATGAGTGTTAACCGAGCGATGTGGCATCTGGTGAAGAATTAATCTTTCCCAGAAAGAGGGCTGGCCTTTGCCTTTGGCTCCTAGGAGATAATCCCTAAACCTTTGGAATGTCCTGGCTGATGAGAGTATTTCTGTTTACCTGGAGGCTTACAGAAGGGACTTTGAGTCATGCAGAACCAGCCTGACCTCCAGCGGGTCTGAGAACTAAGGTCAGCCATAGAGATGGTCAACACATCTACCTGACTGAGCCCCAGTGATAACTCTGGACTCAAGAAAGTTTCTGTGGTTGGTAGTACTCTGTGCCTGTTGTCACACACTGCTGCCGGGAGAATGACACTGGGAGAAGACAAGTATATGTGGAAGTCTCCCTATTTTTCTGCCCTATGTGCCTCTTCCCTTGGCCAATTTTAATCTGTATCCTTCTGTTGCAATAAACCGTAACTGTAAGCTTTACCAACCCAGAGCGAGTTCTCAGACTTAATGAGTGATTGAGTCTGAGTGTGGTCTTGGGACCAGTGACCTGTGCCTGTGGGTACAACAAACTCCTGACTTTCCCTCCTCTGTATCTCCCTGAACAATACTGCTCAGTGCTTACTTCTTCCTCATTTTAGCAAAAGCCTATTTATCCACAAATACATAAATGAACTAAAGAGAAGAGCCCCATATGTTCATTAAGACACACGTTTCCAATAAAATTTTACCTTCTTTGTTTCAGTTAAATATTAAAAACTATTAATCTAGAAGCATAGTTCAGAATTTAAAAAAATGAACCTTCAAAGACTAACATCAGAGGAAAGATTTTTTAATTCTAAATTTAAATACATATTTTTTGTTGCAGAGATGTTACTTGAATGATCAATAAAAGGCTTGAAAGTATAAAAGCATGTTTAAAAAGAGCCACATAAAATTTCAAAAACTATAATATAAAGGAAATCACATTCTTTGCAATTATTTAAACTTAAAGGGAAGACTCTCCTGGATGTAATTCATGTATAGAAGATTTAAGTGGCACATGAAAGATAAAATCAGCAGTTCAATTTGAAATTCTGGAACTGACTGGTTATTTCCATTCTCAATCCACATTCAGCACTCCTGGCATCTCCAACCCTTCATTCACACCTCTGTATTGGAGCACAAGGTCTACTCATCCTCACCATCACCCCCTTCCCCTGCACTGCTTCAACAGATTGGCAAACTCTACTGACGGCACAGCTTGTGTATTATTCATCTTTGTATTCCTCTATATCTCATAATGCTTTACATATAGTAGGCTTTGAACATTTCTTACTAAAATTAAATTTATGTGTCGGTAAGACACTGGTACTTATAATTTTGTATCTCTTGAGAGCCTGTGCTTAGAACCCAGCCACTAGGCTCTAACAAAGTCCACACTTTTTAGAAAGACGTACCCACAGAAAGGCCCATGTAGAGAGGAACTGAAGTCCTTGGCCCTTGACCCTGACCAAGCTTCCAGCTAGCAAACAGATTCTTTCCTAAAGCAGGTCTCCTAGCTCTTAGCTAGCAGAGAGCTAGCACCACACCTTGTCAGATATATGAATAAGCCATTTTGGAAGTGGATCCTTAAACACCCAATGAATGTACCCTAGGCAACACAACATGACAGAGAGAAACCCTCCTCACTGAAAGCAGCCCAAACTGCAGATTTGCTTAAGCCACTATGTTTTGGGTGGTTTGTTATATACCAACAGTAACTGAAATAATAGACTTGAAAACAGTATTTAACAGGTAAAAATTAGTTGTTATTTTATTCTAAGATGACACAGAACTTCTGCTCCAGGAAAAGAAAACCATGAAGACAGAGAGTCAATACACCTAGCCTAAATGAGTGCACTATTAATCCCAACTCAGGAGAAAAGCTGCACTGGAAGAGGGAAGAGCAGGGTGATTAGAGAGTGAAATGGAAGGATAAAGAGGGGAAAAAATAACAAGAATTTCTTAGACTTCAGGACTAGAGTAAGGAAAGCAAAAGGCATGCTACACTGCAAAGTACATAGGGATGGCCATCCCTTAAAGAGCTAAGAGACCTGCTTTAGGAAAGAATCTGATCTTTACAACTAGAAGAAATTCTTTCATCCAATTTCTTTTTTTTTAAATTGGGAAAAAAAAAAAAAAAGACACCCGAAGAGGTAAAGTGACTAGGTCATGAGTCCAAGTTGGCCATTACGTGGAGCTGCTTAATTAGAGTCGTGCTTTAAATTTACAGGCAAAACCTGCTGCCTCAGACTATGGGGGTAGGAGTACGCAGGAGTAGTTCCTATAGTGTGCAGTAAAGAAGGAGGTGTCCTATCTCCCATGAAAAAGAAGATTATTCCTAAATTTTCAAACAGAAGTCCAATCTGAGAGCCATGGTGATGCAAGTTCGAAAGAAAAAGAAAAATCAAATCAAGGGGACAGATGGAGCATGGCTGGGGTTACTTCACTGAAGATGACTAAAATTATCAATTCCCAAAAGGGAGTTCCAGGGAAAGTGCCATTTGAAGAAAGCCTATTAAGAAGTACTGAAATAGGGGCACCTGGGTGGCTCAGTTGGTTAAGCGTCCAGCTTCAGCTCAGGTCATGATCTCACAGTTCGTGGGTTCAAGCCCCGCATCGGGCTCTGTGCTGACAGCTAGCTCAGAGCCTGGAGCCTGCTTCAGATTCTGTGTCTCCCTCTCTCTCTGCCCCTCCCTTGCTCATGTTGTCTCTCTCTCTCTCAGAAATAAATAAAAAAACATTAAAAAAAAAAAAGAGAAGTACTGAAATAGAATGGGGAAATGGGTAGCACACTTATCATTCTTCAACCCCCTTTTTCTTTCTTTCTTTAAAGTTTATTTATTCATTTGGGGGCAGAGAGAGAGAGAGAGGCAGACAGGCAGAGAAAATACCGAGAAGGCTCCCTGCTGTCAGCACAGAGCCCCAAGTGGGGCTCGATCTCACAAACCACAAGATCATGACCTTAGCCAAGATCAAGAGTCAGACACTTAACCGACTAGGCACCCAGGAGCCCTTTTTCTTTATCGAATATTCAAGCTGGTTTCAGACTGGCAAATTCCAGAAGGTTCTAACTATACTACCAGACAGAATTAATTAGTAAAAGCCTTACCCTTCTGTTGGCCAGTCACCTACTTCTCTCATGGAGAATAAGCCCTTGCCACATTATTTATTATACTCCCAGGGAAGACAAAGCACCTAAAATGCCAAGAAGTGTATGAGTGCAGAACTCTCGGATACTTTTTATCCATATTTTGGAGATAATAATACCCGTTTCCATACTACATTATTTTATTAAAACAAAAGTGGGGCACCTGGGTGGCTCAGTCGGTTAAGCATCTGACTTTGGCTTAGGTCATGATCACACGGTTTGTGGGTTTGAGCCCCGCATCAGGTTCTGTGCTGACAGCTCAGAGCCTGGAGCCTGTTTCGGATTCTGTATCTCCCTCTCTCTCTGCCCCTCCCCCACTCGTGCCCTGTCTCTCTCTGTCTCAAAAATAAATAAAACCAAAAAAAAAAAAAAATTAAGAAAAAAAAGTATTCAGTGGATTTCATCCAGATCTTAGATTCATAAATTTTTATTTGTAGTCTCTATGATAAGTCAACTAAAACTAAAGTCCCCTTGTAATTCCTGCAGACAAGTAATATACAAAGGAAAAGTGAATATGGCACAGAGTATTATGTCTTATGGTTGAATTAACCGGACTATAAGAAGCAGGGCACAGGAAGTTTGCAAATTAGAAACAATCTTGCTACTCAGACTGCCATCATTCAATCAGTTATCTCAGTGATCTAGAATCTGTCACAAGTCCAATGAGTGCAATGTGTCAATTACGTTCCTTTGCTAGTAATTTGGTCTATCTTGTATCTATGTTTCATGCAGGGCTTAAAATATCAGGTAATCAGGAACCTGGTCACAAATTGGTTTGTTTTTTTTTGTTTTGTTTTTTTGTTTTTTTTTTTTAACACTCAAAGGTAGGATTAAATATTCTAAACCTATGTAGTAGTTAGAAAGACCAAATAGCAACTAAACAATTAGCTTTGTGCTGACATTGGTAGAAACAGTCATTTAAAACCTTTTTTTTTTTTCATATATATAGAATCCAGGGCACTCTGGGTAAGGGGCCATCTGGTGACTCTAACTATACACAAAGTAGATGACAATTGAGATTACTTCTCTGAAATCACATACTAGCTGAAGTTTTTAGAGAGAAAGGTACTCAGAGTTATTACCAAAAAGATCGAGAGTTGAACTGATGACCAAAGCACACACACACTACTTAAATGAAGTTAACACATTTATAAATGAAAAGCTATCATTTCATTAGATTGAGAGCTTATGATAAAACAGTTATCATATTCACATTGTTGGGTTTTTTTTATTCTTTGGATTGGGGATTCTCAACTCTGGTATGTATCAAAATCACCGGGGAAATTTATTAAATATCCAAGTGCTTGGACCCCACTCCATGGAATCAGAATCTGTTCTAGTAGCTCCATTTTTAAACAAACTACCCAGGTAATTTTTTTTTAAGGTTTATTTACTTAGTTTGAGAGAGAGAGGGAGAGAGAGAAGTCGGGGAGTGGGGGGTGGAGAGGGAGAGAGAATCCCAACCAGCTCCAAGCTGTCCACACAGAGGGCAATGCTGTGCTCAATCTCATGAACTGTGAGATCATGACCTGAGCCAAAATCAAGAGTCGGATGCTTAACTGACTGAGCCACCCAGGCGCCCCCAAACTGGAGTCTTTACACAAATAGTAAAATAAACTCCAAGAGATGGTAAAGATTTACCTGGTCTCTGTTGTTGATGTTTGAATAAGGTAACTGTCCAGTCATCAATTCATACAGAACAATCCCAAATGCATATACATCTGACTGAAAGCTATATGGGTTTTTATCTTGCATTCGGATTACTTCTGGTGCCTGTCAGAACACAAAAAGACAAATATTCTTGTTTATTCTTCAACTTCAACTGAATAGACTAATAAGCAAATTACTAAAATTCCCAGAACAATGCTTTTGTCGTTAAATAGCTCATCTAATATGTAATCAATTCTCTTATTAATGGGCAAAGAAGTAGAACTGATTAAGAAAAACAATGCTTGGTAAACTCTGAAAGAGGTGGTATCGCCCGAGATTCCACGCACAGTACTAAGATTTTAGGATTTTGTCAGCCATCCTCTTTCTGCACAAGATCCTGCCATTGCTATCTGGGTCCTTTCCCAGGACCAGTCCTACCAAGAATCAGTTCCCATTCCCCATGCTTGAGTCAGTAAAGAAATACTAGATCTATGATCATGTTTGGGAGTAGCACAATCACTGTGGTAACTGCCTCAGAATTTAAGTTTTCCCGTTTGCTACAATGGTTCTCCTGGTCTCAGGGCACCTTAGGTAATACTGGTAAAACTTCGAGACTGAAAAACTCAGCCCCCTTTCCTGCCTCCAAAAGCACTGTCCACACACCATGGATGCTTTGTTAACAAAAGCCAAGAAGACAGCAGGCAGACTTTGAAGATGGTATGAAAAATCTTGGCTGCTTGCTTCTGGGGAAAAGCTATAGACCAAACCATTTCTGCTACACTTTTACACATTTTACTCATTGTACTCTACATGAAATACAATAGATGGTCAGTTGAATATTAGCTTAAAGGAGTTATTTCACCTTGCATCTTCTGTATTGTTTCATTTGGAAGAATTGTTTCATTAGAAAAATTGCAGAGTAAAAATAAAAACTCCATGAAAGTGTTACTTTGATATCAAAACCTGGATTGACTACAAAAATGGCTGGAAGACCTGGAACAAGATTCCTGGTCACAGGTCAGGGCAAGTCCAGTCAGACTCTCACGAGGCAGGCAACGGTGTTCAGCCTCACCCGCAAGTCACGATCACCTGTGTAGACTTTAACCTCTCAATGTCTGGACTACATTCTAGAACAGAATCTGGGGATGGGATCTAAGCATTGTTGGTTTTTAATGCTCCCCAGATAATTTTAATGCCCAACCACGGTTGAGAACCTGACAGATGTGTGGAGGCCCTGTGGAAGGATGGGGGGTGGGAGAAGAGTGGCTCTACTTTGGTCAAACATCTTATTAACTGCTTTTAGTAATACAGTACAGAATAAACCACATACAACTGTGATATAGTGAACAAGCCAGAATACTGACAGGCTGGTTATGACAGACAGAATTTGAAAAGCCAGAACACAGTTTTGAGAGGAACAGAGTAATAAATCAGTTGAGGAACTAACTGTCTTTTTAAAATTTAGTTTTACCTCACTGTTGTTGGTAGATGGCTTGATGTAAAATTGTATGTCATCTATTTATAAGAAACGCATAATCGATCCTCAGTTAATTTAGTGACTTAAGATCCTCAATTAATTTAATGATTTAATTTGTAAAAATTTTCACAAAGGTGTCTTTCCCCTCTAAAATAAATAAAACAAGGTTGAGAAGACTATTGTAAATAATTCAGAGAATTACATAACCTTAGTCCTGACCAAACTCTTCTCTCTTGTCTGAGGATGTTCTGTATTTGTTTCTGAAGGCACTATCAACCCAAAAGGTAATTTATTCAAAAATTAAGTGTACTATTGGCTACTCTTGTATTAGAACTCAGCTTGATGGAACAAAGGTTGAACCAATCTACCTAGGTATCAACAAAAAAGAAATTAGAAAAAAAGTAACACTTTATGTAAAATAATCTACTAATTGTACAGACTACAGTTTTTGAAAAAAGGACAAACCTGGAGACTTAACTGTGCCTCTCTCCCACACTAGTTAAGATCAACACACCTTTAAAACATGTATCAATTGTTTCTTTTGAATATTAGGTTTTATAATTTCAGTACTTAATATCTGCCAGCCCACCCCTTCTAGGATTCACTGCCATCTTGTAACAAGGTGTGTGACTTAAAGGTGCATGAGATCTAGTTTGCAGTTATTAATTAGCCTCTGGTTTATAATGATTTATTAAAACAATTCAAATATATCAAAGACACAAGCCCAGCTAGCTCTAATTACTGAATCTTAGAAACAGAAAAGGTATTAGAAAGCTACTAGTCCAAACAACATTAAAAACTGAGAGACGTGGAAGAAGTTAACAAACATGCAGGCTGAGTCAAACAGAGCACCTGAGTACCAATCTCCTAAGTCCAGCACGCCCTTCCACCTTGCCGCTTCCCTTAACTCCGGTTATTCTTATAGGAAATCATAGCTGAATCTAACCCTAAGTTTACTTGACTAATTCAGACATCTATCTTGGAATTCCCTTCCTGGAGACTGCTATGGATGTTCGGGGAATATACGAAAATGTGGCTTCAAGAGCCCTTGCAGCTTTTCTGTTTCATGTCTGTTTGGGATTTACGTTTCCCCAAGTCTTTGTGCAGATTCAATTATTTAAACCTTCAAATTGCACTAATGGTTTGGGGACATCCTGTATTCAGCTGAGAGCAGAGGTTCTCAAACTTTTTGGTCTCAGGCCTCTTTTAGACTTGGTAATTATTGAGGACCCTAAGGATATACCTGTAGGTATTTATCATTTTTAAACCTAACTGGGAAACTTAAAATACTTAATAATTACACAATTAATAAAACAATACATTAGGTGTTAACACAGATGACCTAGGTTTAATGAAAAATATGTATTCAAAGCCAAAAAAAGTTCAGCAAGAACAGTACTACGATCTTCTCTGGTTTAACAGCAGCAGCTACAGACACATACTTGTTGCTGCATTCAATCTGTTGTGATATGTTGTTTCTGGTTGAAGAACATGAAGAAAAATGTGGTTTCACACAGGTACGACCTTGGAGACCTCCGAAAGGTTCTTAGGGTCCCTTTTAAGAACTGCGAGCTTAGAGGATGATTCTTATACCTGCCCTTTTCAGAGCCTGCTGAAAGTAACTGAAGAGAAGTTTTCATTCCCTTCTTTCCCATGAAGCAGAAATAGGCATAATAGGAATAAAGAAAGAGCTATGCAGGGCAGCACATGGCTGACAGTGTTAAAAATCTACCTCCTTTTTTTTTTTTTGGTCTTTCCTCTCCCAGCTGCCCCATAATTATAGGTTCTTTCTAGTCTAAAGGAAGTAACTTTCCAATTTAGGCTTAAATAAGATTGTGAAACAGCCTCTTTCTCAAAAAAGAGTAGTTCTCTTAGCAAAACCTTAACTGCTGCGGATCATACCTACTTAAATGGCATAGCTGTTTTTTTCTTTTTGCAACAGGGTACACAACATTTTGAACACAAAATATTTTAGAGAGCCAATTCTGGATAAAATTTAAACAGTGTTTATAAAATACATATTTTTTTGTTTGAAATATACTGAAACTGGTGTCGTAATACTTTTTTTTAAAGATAAAGAAAAAAATTAAAATCTATTTACATAAAAAATAAGGTTAACATTGATTTTTGTGAATACTGAGAATTATGAAAACACTACAGTTGAAACCTTCAACGATGTTCTAGTAACTCAAGCAGCATCTCAGGGTCCACAAATTTAATAAATGGAGAAACAGCCTCAATTCTTACCATCCACAAAATGGATCCAGACAACTGTTCAAACTGATGGGACCCACTCCATCGAGATTTCACTGTGGCTAGACCAAAATCACCTATTTTTACTGTGAGGTCTTCATGAAGAAAAATATCTGAGGTGTAGTAAGTAAAGGAAAACAACAGATCTCATTTTCCTATCAAAGCAAGCATTACGAAAATTTTTGGTAAGAGATCTAATTTCTATAATTCTGTAATATGACTTTCTTTCCTTAGTAATAATGATATTCCTTTAAAAAGTACAGTTCTTCCTATTTCCTCTTAAAGTTGATAAATATATTTTAAAAAATAATTAGTTCTATTTGGTCTCTGTGACCTGCTTTTAAGATTTTTGGGACTTGAAACGTGGTAGGGTGAGGTGAGACGCTTTCCTAAGTTTATGGGAAATCCTGAAACTTTCCCAATTAGATTTTAGTAACATGGGCCCAGACATCCTTCGGCACTGCTGACAAAGATACAAAGGTTCTTCACTGGAATGAAGTTAGTTGGCAGACAGGATCTTGATCTGGGTTTACGGAGGAAGAAGGAAAAATATGTTTTTCTCACCTCATTGTTCCTAGTAAGTTATAACTTTCAGTTACATCTGCACCGCTGGGGAGCAGCGTCAGAGCACTGATGGAAATGAGTGGACAGCTACTCAACTTTGCGTTTTATGGAGCTGACAAAACAGAAGCACGCAATCAAAAGAGTACTACTATTATAAAGACTTGGTAGATTTTTTGGGTAATGTTCCAAAGTTCAGAAATCAAAAGCAGGTTGTAGTATCCTGCCTCGGTATGCTCTCATGCAACCCCGTCCATTAGTTCTCTTTACATTATATTGAACTTAGCATGAAAATTGTTTTTACATAATGTGAAGACAAAATGCAGAAGAAAAAGTCAGGATGTTTTCAAACTTCGCAGACAAATTTCAGGAAGGATACTATTACTCTTGAGGTCTCTGTGGATGATTGACTTGGCGTGTAAGTAACTGAAAAACAAAACATCATTTTAACCTGAGTAGGGGTAAAGACTCTGGCCTCAAAATCTACAGAACATATTTAGGGGTGTAAATAAAGACTTATTCAAAATCATGATACAATTGCAAACTGTACATTGTGATAACTCCTTTACATACGAAATATTAAAATAAACGGTCAATGAACTGAGGATTATAGGAACATATTACTATTATGGTACAGCCAAAATCCTGTATTGTGTTAACAGACTTTGCTTTATCTTTTACTATTTACCAATACAAACCTTTCACTCCAGCCAAGCCTATTTATCCATGTCTTTTCAATAGACTTTGATATTTAATCCCACTTCTGTGATCAATGTTCCCCTCCCAAAACCATCCCCAAATTAGCTTTCATTCTATTCTCCCCCTATTCATACCTATCCTTTAAGACTGAATGTACACTCTAACTCCTGAATGAAGCTTTCCCATGATTAACTCAACTGAACGTGATCTTTCATTGTTCACTTATGTAGTAATTATTTAACAGCTTGATTCTTGTATTTTTCCCCCTCTGTGCCTTTGGTTCACGTTCTTTTCAGAATGTAAACTCCACCAGAATAGAAAGATCCGATCGATAAAACCATTTTAAAGGTTATATTATATATTACTAAAATACCTTCTTTATTTTATTTTTTTTTAATGTTTTATTTATTTCTAGGAGAGAGAGAGAGAGAGAGAGAGAGAGAGACAGCATGAGTAGGGGAGGGTCAGGGAGAGAGGGAGTGACAGATTCTGAAACAGGCTCGAGGCTCTGAGCTGGCAGTCAGCACAGAGCCCGACGTGGGGCTCGAACCCACGAACCGCGAGATCATGACCTAAGCAAAAGTCGGATGCCCAACCGACTAAGCCACCCAGGTGCCCCTATTTTATTTTTTTTAAAAGATTTTATTTTTAAGTAATCTCTGTACCCAACATGGGGCTTGAACTTATAACCCTGAGATCAAGAGCTGCTCCACCGAGTGAACCAGCCAGGTGCCCCACAAATACCTTCTTAAAAATATAGAGGAGCTTTACCATACATGTTAATCTTAAATTAATCTTAAATTAACATGTATGGTACTAATGGCCATAGTAAATAATCCTATTGTTGATTAGTTTAAAATAGCATATAATAAGAGAAAATTAAATAATACAGAATAAAATTTCAAAACAGGCAAAAATAGTGAGGGGGAAACCCACTACATAATGTCCACAGTGAATCTATTTTAAAGTAAACGATAAATTTAAGTGATCTGTTACCCCTAAAACCTGCTTGAGTTCACTGAGGGAAAGGGTTGTGCCTAGTTTACTTCTGTTTTATCTCCAGGGCCTAGCACAGTGCCTGGCATATGATGAGTATTCAACATGCCTGTCGAGTCAACTACAATGAAATGCACATAACATTCTAGTCAAAGTTCTTTTTCTTCATTTAATACTAGAGAGAACAGATACAGGAGACTTCTGAAATTTGACACTGACCATTAGGAAATAAATCTTGCTTTAAAATGACACTTTTAAGTCTACATGGTATAATCAAAATTATGTAATAAACACTGTTAAAAATGGAAGATTTACAATGACTAAGCTTTATTTATGCTTTTTCATCTTCATTTAAACTTCCTCATTCTCTCAGAGATCAAGATTTTGAAACTCTCTTCTCAAAATTTTCATTTCAAATTACTGTTTATATAAGGTAACCCCTTCTGTTCCAATTTCTCTCTCATATCACTGCTTACTTCCTCCATAGATTTACTGCACTTTAAAATTTTCTTGTCATGACTTCTTAAACTCAGTGTTGTCTCACTACATCACACGATCTCTCTTATGATGAAGGAAAACATAATGTCATTTATGGGTCCTATTTGCTTAAAAAGTTCTGCAGGGACACAGAGAGGTGTAGATGGAGAAAAAGGGGCCTTTGCAATTAAAAGCCGTTTCAAGATGAGACCCTGTCTCCATTAGAAAGAATGGGGAAAAAATAGATATGGTGTTTAGTGGTAGAGCTCGGTGCTTGGTCAGAGATCTGGTGTTTAATGCATAGAAAAAGTATTGGTCTTTGAAAAGAGATTGTTTCCTTTGAAATTAAAAACAACAAATGGGTAGTAGATACGAATTACATGGCAGCATGATTAAGTTAGAAGATAAAGGTGTTTTTAATGCTGTCAATCTCTTCAACAAATCTGATACAAAGAAATATAGCAAGAATAAGGTAAATAGAAATGTTATTAGAGGGTTGAGGAGAAAAATATTCTGACCAGGAAAGTACTAGATAATTAACAAGATATAAACACAAGTGCTGAGCTAGTGATGTGGTGAACAACATAAATCTATTGTAGGCCAAAGTTGTGTACAGCTGCAACCTGAAATAGCACCTCCTTATCCCTGGGTAATCCTTTATTGTTTAAAACTGTTTTCCTAACTTTTATCTCACTTAATAATTCTCTGTCACATCTCTGCGACAAAAGCGGTGAATGAGCAGACATCCAGGTCAGTATAATGGATGGTTGGAAAGAAAAGGTACTCAAATGGAATGAGCATCATACCCCATTCTCTTCATGAAAGAATATTTCAGAATAATTACTACTTTATATACTTCTCTATACAGGCTGACACTGAAACATAATTTTCTAAGCACCAATCAGTTATAATGAAAGATGCCAAAAGACACATAACTGGTTGAGGGTAGGGAAGGGAACAGGAATAAATTAACTTTACTACAGATTATATAGAAGTCGATCCATTACTTAGGGCAATCAAATTGGACGCCCTTCTTAACTTTTCAAAGATATTAAAGAGAACCTTATAGGTTTATAAATGTAGCAGGAAAGAAAAAAACATGCTATAAACTAAATGAATATCGTATCTTCTTGATAGGTTTCCCTTGGGAGTTTCCTTCCTTAAAGCAAAAGAATCCACCTACAGAATCATTTAATCTGAAAGCTTGGCAAATCATCTAGTAAAATTTGTTCTCTATGCTACTTCTTTCAAGCCATTATCCAAGATTCAGCTTTTTAACATTCTTTTTAGAGCTTAATATGATGCCTCAAGAGTAAATACGATACTCTAGATTTGATCTGATCAGCACAAACTAGAGCGACTCTCATCTTAATTTTCTCCTTGAACATAAGACCTGAAACCACAAAACTCCTAGGAGACAAAAACAGTGGTAGCAAGCTCCTTGACATCGGTCTTGGTAATCATTTTCTTGCACTTGACACCGAAAGCAAAGGCAACAAAAGCAAAACTAAACAACTGGGACTACATCAAACTAAAGAGCATCTGCACAGCAAATAATACAGACCACTAACAAAATGAAAAGTCAAACTACCAAACGGGAGAAAATATTTGGAAATCATATATCTAATAAGGTGATATCGAAAAAATATAAAGAACTTGGAGAATTCAATAGTAAAAATCTCAATCTGATTAAAAAACAGACATTTTCCCAAAGGAGACATACAGATGGCCAACAGGTACATAAAAAGGTGTCTGGCATCACTCATCATCAGGGAAATGCAAATCAAAGCCACAATGAGATATCACCTCATACCTGTTAGCATGGCTATTATCAAAAAAGCAAGTGGTGGCAAGAATGCAGAAGAAAGGGAACTCTTGTACACTGTTGAAGGGAAAATAAATTGGTGCAGCCACTATGGAAAACAGTATGCAAGTTCCTCACAAAAACTTAAAATAGGATTATCATATGATTCAGTAATCCCACTTCTGGGTATATATCCAAAAGAATTTAAATCAGGATCTCAAAGAGACATCTGCACCCTCATGTTTATTGCATCACTGTTCACAAAAGCAAGGACACAGATACAACCTAGTGTTCATAAGTGAATAAAGAAAATGTCACACACACACACACACACACACACACACACACGAATATTATACAGCCACAAAAAAGGATATCCTGCTATTTGCAATAACATGGATGGGCCCTGAGGACATCATCTGTAATGAAACAAGTCAGACAGGGAAATACAAATACCATATAATCTCACTTAGATGTGGAATCTAAAAGAAAAAACCAAAAATTAAATTCATCTTCATCTTCCTGGTAGTGGGTTAAAAAATTCTATCAGCCATTATTGGGATTATGACGGCAGCCACAGTCACTCTACAGACTCCTATTAAAATTATATTCAGTTCCAACCCTACAGGGTTGTGCTTGCATTACTCCTACAGAACAGTTTCCCCATCCTGTATCTGTATGTGTATCTTTCTTTTCTGGACTTGGCTAGTAAGAGGTCTTATTTTGTAGACGTGGCCTACAATTTCAGCTGACTGAAATTTTAGTTTTCACTAAAAAATAAGTTTTAAAAGATTAGTGTGCTAATGATGCCCTCATCTAAGTTACTTGTAAATATGCTAGTCATACTCAAGAGTGGAATGAAACAAAAATCTCATCTAGCTTAATAGCTTCAGGGATGATGATCATTATACACTTATGAACCTAGTCAAATCCTCCGTGCATTTACATCTCTTGATCTATCCTCAACAATACCATGAGAATTATCACTCAAATGTCTTGCTGAAATTCAATCACTAAGGCTACATCTGCCATAGTATTTGCCTGATTTAATGGTGTCGTCTATTTATAACAGCCCCAAGTGTCTCTCACTGAAGTTTACTGTTCTTTTCTTATATTTTCATCTGTTTCTAAAACCAAAGAACTGGCCTCCAAATCATAAGCGTTTCAAACCACTTTCACCAAATAGTACACAATTTCAAAAATGTTTGTCAGGCTTCACGTAGCAGGCTAAATGTCTCCCCAGACACCCATGGAGGGTGTGGCAGCTGACAGGACTGATACGTGCGATGGTGACAAGATAATATTTTATCCAAAGAGTTTCAGTTATAGTCTCCCTTCTCCTTTGATGCTCTCCACTCCCCTCATAACCACACTGTGCAAAGTGAGTATGACTGAAGGGAATGACTCCTCTGTGGTCAATAATCATTTACATTTTAAAATAATTAAAAAA